ACCAATCCCTAAAAATTACAAGTCTCAGCACTTGTCTTCATATTTACCAATCCCTAAACATTACAAGTCTCATTCCATTTCTCTTCATTTTGCAATAAAGTTTATTTTAATTTTAATATCCATAAACATAGAATGAAAAGGACCTGAATTTTAATTTTAGGTCTTTCTTTCTGACTATCATGCATAACATTCTGAGTAAATCCATTATTATCAAAACAGCGATAAAAACAACAGCTACAGAACCAAGTACAGTGTTCTGCGGGGTTTTCCGAGTATATGTGAACAATGAAACTCATATAAGCTATAACAAGTGAGACTTCAATGTTGAAAAGGAATTTTAGATATTAAAAGCATATTTCACGATCAATGAAAAGTTATACAGTGTGTCTCTAAAAAAAGTAAACCCAACTTCAACGGCAAATTTTCAGAAAACTATAAAATATTTACACATTATTTTTTATGGTTAGATAGTCCAATAAGTCCTCTGTCCAATGATACCACGTAGGTTATGTAACTCTCATGCATGACTGAGCATGATTCAACTTAGTGAATGGGTGTGAAATCATCACTGTGGCAAGTTAGAATTGCACTGGAAGTTCATCAATCAAATGACATAGGAAATGTCTGATTTCTTACAAGCATAGCTTAGGGATGTGTACCCTCGACATGACCGCCATTCCTTTCCATGCAAAGCTCGCAACGCCTCCTCATGTCCCTGACAGCACGCCTGATCATTCCCTGATCTTGTCGTAATCGGTTCACTTCACCTGTTATCTGTTGCCTCAGCTCCTGAATTGTGGCCGGTGGGGTTTGGAACACTTTTCCTTTAAGATACCCCCAAAGAAAGAAATCGCATGGTGTCAGATCTGGTGAACGTGCAGGCCACTCAACTGGGAAATGAAGAGCAATGATGCGATTGCCAAAGAGTTCAGTCAAACGATTCCTCACAGCAATAAGTCTGTGGGCTGGGGCCCCATCCTGAGCCCACCAGGCCCTGCGGAATGCTCCACGTCGTTGTCGGGGGAAGATCTGTTCCATCTCAGGCACAATAAAATTGTTCAGCATGTCAAGGTACGCCCTGCCATTGATGTTGCCTTCAAAAAAGTAAGGTCCCACCAATGAACCATTGCCACAAAGACCAATCCAGACACTCACTTTCTCCCTGCTCATGTTCTTATTAAAAGCATATCCCGGTGGATGATGGAGTTCAGCATACTCGTGCTCATTGTGGGTGTTTACCATTCCATCCATGGAAAACGTTGCTTCATCCCCGATGGTAAAAAACTGGAGGAACTGTCGATCTCGGTTGCACCGGTTCACAAACCATTGTGAAAATTGAAGTCCTCTGGGAAAATCAGCTGGTAGAAGTTGGTGCTGAACATGAACATGATATGGATGGAGATGCAAATCCAGTCTTGCTATTCTGTTAAAAGTTGCGCGTGGTATTCCAGTATCATTTCTCCTGGTGCTTATGCGTGGGTTGGCTTGGATGGCCTCTCTTACCACTTGGATGTTTTCAGCAGACCTCCCAGTTCGTCTGTGGCCAGAGTGTCCTTTATTCCTGTTCAAACTGGTTCCATGATCAGCATACTTTCTCACATTGTACCAGATGGCTCTTTTTGTTGGAGGCTGCCTCTCGGGGAACTGCACCCGAAAAGCATCTTGAACTTCCACGAAACTTCTTGTTTCCTGGTATCGAGTTACCAGGAATACTCTCTGCTCAATTGTCAACTGTACCATGTTTGGAAAGCATGTGAAGTGTGCCTGTGTTAGGAACAACCTTTGCTGAAGTTGTTATGTAATCATAGGCCTAACATGTGACAAAGATTTAACTTCAAATAGGCCCTGAATGCATGACAATAGCAAGAAATAACTTGCCACAGTGATGATTTCACACCCATTCACTAAGTTGAATCATGCTCAGTCATGCATGAGAGTTACATAACCTACGTGGTATCATTTGACAGAGGACTTATTGGACTATCTAACCATAAAAAATAATGTGTAAATATTTTATAGTTTTCTGAAAATTTGCCGTTGAAGTTGGGTTTACTTTTTTTAGAGACACACTGTACAGTGCGTCCCAGAAAAAAACGAAACCGAGAAGAATCGATGTTTTATCATAACTTAATCACAACCATAATTAATGAATAATACATATTTGGAAAGCTTAGAGTCTTCTCTTTCAGTAAATGCTACTCACGTGATGCATATTTCACGCATGAGTGATTAAAAGCAATTTGAAGGAAGGAAACAAAAAAGTAATTTGGCGGGCGGTATCTGAATTTCAAAGAAAAATTCATATTTCTAGAAAGTTCATTTTCTGCTCTTTTATATGATACCTCAATCAAGAAAAATGAGCCAGGAATAACAAAGTTCTGTTTGTTTAAAGTAGCCCTTACATTTTCATAATTTTAACAAACGAATTCGTTTTCACTGGGTACCTGCCGTAGCAAAAAGCAGACTTGACAAAAGACTTAACTCCGTTTCGTTGACAATCAGCCATGCATTAAGACTCTCGTCTACGGCTGATTGTCAACGAAACGGAGTTAAGTCTTTTGTTAATTTCGTTTATTGATACGGCAGGCAGCCAGTGAAAACGAATTCGTTTAATAAAATTATGGAAATGCAAGCACTACTTTAAACAAACAGAACTTTGTCATTCCTCGCTCATTTTTTCTGATTGAGGTGTCATATGAAAGGGCAGAAACTCAACTTTCTAGAAATGTGAATTTTTCTTCGAAATTCAGATACCGCCCGCCAAATGTCTTTTTGGTTTCCTTCCTTCAAATTGCTTTTAATCACTCATGCGTGAAATATGCATTATCTGAGTAGCATCACATGAAAGAAGAGACTCTAAGCTTTCCAAATATGTATCATTCATTAATTATAGTTGTGATTAAGTTATGATAGAACATCGATACTTCTCGGTTTCGTTTTTTCTGGGACGCACTGTATATATTGATATCGTCGGAAAAAAAAAACCGAGATTATCACTGAATAATAACAGTAAACTGATAGATGATACTTAATTGTTGAACCTTTGAAAGAACCATGTAGTTAAAGCATAAAACAGAAAAGAATCATCCGAATGAACCAGTGAGCCCTCTACCTCACAAAACATAAACAAGCAACAAGCAGTAAACAAGTATCAAAAAAAAATATATACACTTAATTTTCTTGGATTCTTTTTCTGAACTGAATTCCTAAACCTTGAAAAATATATATGATGGTTGATTTCTGGTAAGGGGAAAAATAACGTATTAGAAAATGTATACTTTATTATAATTGCCATGTTAAAGAAAAAAAAACGTTCTAGAAGCAATGATCCATTAAAAAATCTCTCTTGAATATTCTCATATTTAAATGGGACAATATATCTTTTGAAAAAAATTCTGAAACCACATGTCTGTAAAGTCCTTTGTCTCGATGTTGGTGTCCTGTCATTTTTGCTGTTTGTAATATTAAGCAGATTTGGACAAATAAATGCAACGTTGATGATTTACAAATGAAGTACAATTTTATCCTACTTACAACATAGTCTATCAATTCAATTCATCCAATTCAATTTATTTCAACCATAAAAATACATATACAACAGTTCATGAAAATATAAAAACATGAGGTTAGGAGCCCCTAAAGAAGTTTGAATACAAGCTTGTGGTTGGGGCACCAACCATGACATATATATCGAGAAATTAGAGAAATTAACAAAAACAACATTAACGAAAAAACAAATATATACAAGAAAAAGATCAATAAGACCTATATGTGAGCATAAGACATTTACAGTAATGCACCAGCCATGAACGCACACAGGACACGCCGCGGCGTCCAGCGACACTGCGTCCCTATATGCGCCCCTAGCCGGTGCTTTATAGTATTATCAAACATTACACAACATTAGGAGCAAAATATTAATTATTTAATTGGGCGTTTTTCTTTTTTGATATTGCAAGAACGTTTCATTCTTCAACAGTTTTTTTTAAACTATATCAACAGTTTTACTTAGTTTAATATCATTGTTTAGGTGATTATATAACTTAATTTAATTACAACGTAAGGAATGTTGACTGATTGTAGTTTTGGAAGGAAATTGACGAAAATCGGCGTATTGACGGGTGAAATATGAGTGACAGGAGGCATTTGTGCTATCATTGATAACTTTTCGTCAGTCTCTTTGCTAATGGAATTCCCAGACCAATATTCAACATCCGAATTGATCAAACCAGTCCCTCTCAGACATGGATAGATCAGCTACATCATATTTGTTCCTATTGGGTAGGTACAGATCACATGCAGAGGGGTGAAAATCATTCTTTTCAGAAGTCATATTACGAATCACTTTCTTTGGAAATAAACCCACCCCAAATTATCTATTCCAGAGTGATTTTTATATAACTCTTTTCTTTTGTGATTGAATTTCACAGTTGTTACCTATAAGGGCGGATTTTCACCCAAATCGAAGTAAATATGACTTCTCGACAGTCCTTTCACAGTTAAACTGCATGACCAGTATTCGACAATTTCATTACAAATTATTGAGGCTTGTTCAGATATGCCATGGCACGGTAAACCGCCGGAAAAAAGCCGCCGGTGTTTTACATTTCGTGTTAATTAAATGGCAACTACCCGCAACAGAATAATGACTTGCGCGTATGTATTCTTTGACCTCTGTGTTCAAAGATTCAGACATGTGAATCTTATTATATCATTTGGTTTTCACAAGTCATATCTGAACAAGCCTTTATTTGATTAAAAAATGTAAGAGTATAAAGTGTAATCCTATGCAAACAATCCGTTGTCCTCTGAGATATGTGCAGAATGTATATATCCACGTCCAGTGTATATTTGGACAATTAATGTAATCAAATGAAACTAAGTATATCTCATTTTTTTAGTGCGAATTTGAGAGCGAATTTCATCTGAAACAAAGAAGTGATCCCAATTATGACTCACTTAGATGTGATTTCCACTACAGTGTAAATCTAGAGAGTAAATCATTTTCTAGAGAAAGTAGGGTTATCATAGGTTGGATTCTGATGCATCCCCTCCACGTCTGGCAGCCCTGCCAGCCCCGATGCTGACCCAAATTTCATCTCTCCAGTGTGTTTTTTCCGGTAGAAGTATACGCACAGTATGACTGCTCCAACGATGATTACCACACCCACTGCACAACACAACCCGATGATCATGGCCAGGTTGTCTGGTCCAGTTGGTTCGACGGTGGTTACATACACCGGTATTGGCTCGATGGTGGTGGGTACAGACGCTGGTAGTGGTTCGGTGGTGGGTACATACACCGGTATGAAGCGGATCAACAGGGAAGCGATGTTGGACAAGTCCCCTCCGTTCCCTTCCTCATCCCAAGCTCGAATTGCGAAATAGTAGATGATATCTTTTTCCCTCTGAGGGAGTGAAATAGTGACAGTCTCAATAACCCCTGCTGGACTGATAAAGGATAGGTTCCCGGAGATAAGTTGATCCTGTGTGACCTCATGACTGTTGCTGAAGTTGTTTCGGACGTCATCGAAGTTGGAGGAATAGCGAAGTTCGTAATTATATGCTTTATGGTGGAAATTGAAACAGTAGCAGAAATTATGGACATGCTCAACTCTAGTGCACATAAAACATCTTAATGTGAGTGCATTCACTGTGAGGTTCACAGTTTAGCTGAATAATCTTTCCACAGTTCATTGATTTATGAACTTTTCCTTAATACCTCCTCAGCACTTTGATTTTGATCGTTTTTTCATTTGACTATACATGACATGCTTCCCGTTTTTCCTAAGCTGCTCTTTCCCTGATTTTTTTCCATCAGTACCAAAGTCCAGGGTCAGCGCAGCGTCTCTCAAGGGGGCGGGGGGCACAAATAGAAACGGAACTTTCTTGAAAAAAAAACTTTAAAGCAAATATAATACAATTTTTAGATATTAGAATATACCCTCAATTTTTTTTTTTTAAAACTAGAAATAACTCTTTATATGACTGTAAAGAGACACACTTTATAAGCTACAAAGGGCATGTATTGGCTTTGGATAGGGGAACTAATTAAAGGTAAAATGTGATATTTATAAGAAATGGAGAAGGGCATTTAGTATAAGGTCAAAAAGGCAATCATCAGAAGGGAATTGTCACTAGTGAGAAAGAAAAAGGGTACTTATCACAGTTAAAGGGGTACTTATCAAAGGTGAAAAGAGGCACTAATAACAAGAGGAAAGTGGCATTCATTACAAAGGATGAAGTGCGCTTTTTAAAGTTAAAGGGACACCTATCAGATTTGAGTAGCAGCACTTATGAGAAGGGGTACTTATGAGAAAGAAAAAGGGGGTATTTATCCGAAAGAGAAAAAAAGGGACATTTTCCTGCGCAAAAGGAGCACTGTAAGTGTACTTCAAATGTGTGGGGACACTGTACCACCTTCCTCCCCTCCCCCTTCGAGAACGCCGCTTCTAAAGACTCTTAAGTCATGAATATTGTTTACCCGTTCCTTGGTCCAAGTCGTCTCCTACAGCAGTCCACCTGAGGGTCACTGTGCTGTTATCATAGGAGAATGACGTATAGACCAGGTCCTGGATACGGGAAGGTGGTAGAATATCAGCGGCGTTGGGAGTGTAACCTTGGACCTTGAAGACTCCTCCCGATGCTGTACGCATGAAAGATGGCTCCACTGCAGTCTCCACTTCAGTTGACCTTTTTCCTGGATGCAAACAAATACAAGGGAAAATGTGTACAAATTGTTCCGATTGGATCAGTCAAAAGTATTGGATGAAAAAATAGTAATACTAATTTGGTCTTATGTACTCATAGTAGCCTCATCATTTTTTAATTTTGCTATTCCCGAAGGCCTTGCAGTTAATATTACCGCAACATTGCAAGGTATCCACTTTACACCTGGGTGCAGAGGGGAAAAAACACTCGGCCAAGGATGTAGAGCAAGGGTCGAATAAGGGAATTTCTATATGGGAATCAAGAGCCTTCATCAATTCAGTGCTTCCACTCGGGAAAGGCCTTCCCAGATCCCATGATGTACATACAGTATGCTAGGATTTTGTTTATTTACTGTACAATTAGAAATGATTTCAAATATGTTCACGGAAGGAATGGATTTCTATGGCTCGTCCCAATTCAAGATGATTTTTGTTTGTTTGATCCATAGGCCTAAAGTTTATCAACCATAGGAAAATTGAAAGATTAATTTACATACTTCTCTGATTTTCTGCGACATCATAGCCGATGACATCGACCTTGACGTTATATCTGCCATTAGAAGTGAAGCTTATGAAGTACGCTGAATATGTCCCGTCATTTGGTGTTAAATCCGGCTCTGAGGATCATAGAGAACAGAGTACGACGATCAAGAAATGTGCTTTATTACTATAAAGGCCATAACTGGGAAAGGCTTCGCACTCGCTATCAAATAGTTTTGCATTGGAAAAAAACAAATCAAAATCGAATTGACAACTTTCTTATACATGTTTGAATTGTTAGATTTTCCCCTATTCGGATAGCAGACAGGTCGTACAGGGTTCTATTTGCTGTAAATAATTAGGTACTTCCCACCGAATGACTTTCTTGTACGAGTTCCATTAACGTTTTGAGAACACTTTTTAAGTTTCAATGGCCTCGATTCAACGAGCTACTTAGAATAAAACTAAAGGTTGAATTAAGAAATAACGAAAGCAAAAATATCAAGCACACTTTGTGATTGTAAATACAAATGCATAATAGGCAGAGCCTTCTTGCTACCGCGGCCGTCGAGCAGACACATGCGCAGATCCCTCGGGTGCATGACGTTACTCGACGCATACCGCGTTGTCGCATCAAATCGAAGTCGCCATTGGCTCACATGGCCCTTAACAGAGCAAGTTCGCTGCTGCGGCGACAGAGCTGAAAATGTGCAGATTCCTAAAGTGACTTCACTCGATGCACAACGCGTTTATAGTCGCGTCAAATCGAAAGCTCACTTTTGGCTCACCTGACCCGTCGTCGCGCAATGTCCTCGTGGTCGTGTTAAATGTATCCGAAATGATAGCTGTGACGTCAGCATTAAGAACAGACCCAAAATCCCTTTGAACCTGAGCATATATAGCTAGTGCTGGAGTATCTGCATAATTCACCTCCTTGAAGAATGCAAATACAGAGCAAAACGAAAGAGCAAAAATGGTTAACAGGAAACGTGGTAAATAAGCTAGGCAATGTGTTTCTTATTCATTCACCCCTCATGCTATGGATGGAAAGTAAACCATCAGTATATTCGAAAGAGACATGTAAGAGGACACTTTTTTTTTTGGTCTCGAAATTTCAAAATTTGGCATTTTGTTCCGTTTGGGGGGGGGGGGTAAGGTCACCTTATTTAAGTCGGCCATTGGCATATATTTTTAATTAAAAAAAAAAAAAAAAAATTAAAAAAAACAAAACAAAACAAAACAAACAAAAAAACAAAATGGGGGGGGGGGGGGGAGGGACGGGGGGGGGGGGGGGGTTTCTTAAAAAAACATACATAAAACATACACATAACAAAAAATCAAGGGGGGGGGGGGTTTAACCCCCCCCCCCCTGCGTACGCGCCTGGTCTAGCCATACCTCAATGATAACAATAGCTACAACAGTTTGGAATATAGAATAACAAAAAAAGTATAGTATTTTACCATAAAAATATTTATATATATATATATATATATATATATATATATGTAACAGTATACTTACATAAGATCCTAAAGACACAGTTACTGTGACTGGCGAGTAATCTTGCGTAGTTGGTTTAGATGTTACTGAAACACTAGCATACTCGACGCTGACGCCAAGCTGTATGACGCTGATGGTTACATTCCACCTACCAACCTTTTTTTTTTAGAATAATAATGATAACAATAATAATAGTAATACTAAAAATAATAATATTCAAATTATAATAATAATAACAATAATACTACTAATAATAATGATAATAATAATACAAATTCTAATATTCAATTCTTAATAAGCGCATATCGCGGACCTAGAAATGTTTTCCTGTACGAGTGCGTTCTGGGTCGAATGTGCCAAATGTATAGTAATTTTTTTTGGCCAAATTAGTGACTTGTCAATAGATTTAAATCTCATTTTCCATTAGACCACACCATGTATCCATTTTAAACATATTTAATAGTATTACAAAATTTCCTACTGAATTAGAACAGATCTTTCGATCACTCATGAATTTTGCAAAATTGTATTACCGACAAGTAATATTACGGGCATTTTTGTCAGACGTTATCATCAATTAAAATTCACAGTTTTAGAATTTGGATGACCTGACCACACATTCCTTCAATGCTGGCATATTGTGGTCAGCAAGGTAAAATAAAAAAGGCTGATATCATTTTGGGAAAAGAGTCATTGTTGCTCATTCAACAGTTTTACACGAGGTTTAGTTCGTGCCAAGACGAAGAAGATGACGATAAGCAAATATATTAGACAAAATTGGATAAATCCAACACATTTAGGGCTTGAAACTTTTGATAAACAGTTTCCTACACACCTTTGGAAAAAATTGTAAACAATCTAACTTCATTTGAGGGTTTCCAAAATCGTTGAAGATATACCATTAATCTTAATAATCTATATACGAAGAATGGCAAAGGAGCTGTTTTCTTAACCAAAAAATAATTTTCAGAGGCTTCACCTGCGCCAGGGGTAAGTTGATCGTCACAATCTTGTTGTCCATATCAATGTGATAGCGAGAGTCTGTATAGTCAACTCGAGTACCGTCTGGCCCAGTAAGAACGATTGATATCGAATGACTCTTCGCCCAGGTCACCACGATCACCGTTTCATTGCCCAATTCGGCGTCAATGACCACCGAAATAATGGAGAAGCCAGAATCACGTTCGATGATGACCACGGTACTGTAGATCTGAATGAAATTGCAAAAAAAAAGATTTAAGAATATGATATCTTCAAATAGTCAGCTAGAAAACCGTGCGTTTTGAACGCCAATGTACTTTTTAACGGAAATCTTCAATAAATGATAAGAATGAAGAATTCGTTTTCTTCGTTATTATGTATTATGGCACAACACCAATTGATTCAAGATTCGTAGTCATTTGGAATAGATATAAACAAAATTTGTTAGGAGGAAACGATTGAAATACAGTTGTGTCGTCTGCTAACTATTTGACATTTGACGAAATCTGTATAGGTTATTTATGTAGAGAGAAAAGAAAGAATAGGACCTATTACGTGTCCCTGTAGAATTCTAATCACGCTTATTTGTCCTTTATCCCAGGAACCCGCTGGTTTAGCATAAAGCTGAGAAACCATTACTGTTTTGGCATACAACGTACTGACTCGCATACATACATGTAGGGTGACTATTCGAACTAAAAAGACGACAGACCTGTACAGGAACCGGTTCCATGCCAACGTCAGGTCTCTCCGTTATGATGCTATGGAATGCATCTATTAGACAATTCACAGGTCCGGTATCCGAACAGAAGCTAGATATGCCAGAAGTGCTATTTGAAAGATCTTCCATTTGCTGATCAGCTGCGTTGCTTATAGTGATAGTGTCAATTATGAATCCTGAGTTCTCAATGTCGTCATACTTTTCTCTGATGTATGGAACTCTATTCTCTCCTCCATCACTGAGGAGTAACATGTATCCACCTTGTGCATATGACCCCAATACCTAGAAAGAAAAATTGGTGATCTGCTGAGATGCTTACAGTCAGTAGCGTACGCAGGATTTTTTTTCGAGGGGGGGGGGGGGGTCTCCCCTCCCCTGCGTACGCGCCTGCTTACAGTGATGGTATCAGTGATAACTCCTCAATTGTCAATGTCGTCATTTGTTTCTCTGATGAACCTCTATTCTCATCGCCGTCAGTCAGAACCAAGAGGTACTCACCTCTCGAGTACGAACCCAGTACCCAGAAATACACAGGAAACATTTCTTCACAAGATATTCTCTAAGACTAGGCACGGCAAAGACCATTTGTTTTCAAAGAGGAGAACCGTTGGATGAATTATGATATATTTTGAGTACTAGGTAAATTATAAAATACGTGATTATTATGGAGGTGGGGTTATTGGTCAAGGTATGCTCGTCGCACACGAGCCATCATTGCTGTTCCGTCATTACTTGCGCTAATAAAGCGTGTGAAGGCAATTACCCCATACGCTTGTAGCGCAACGCGATGTACGCACTGTTCACTTCCCATTAAATATAAAGTTGAGTTCTGGTAATGCGATTGCATTGCGAAAGAAAAGATGGGGAATGGATCAGAAACAGTTGATCATTTAGCATGTAAGTATCGGTGTGCACTGCAAGGTTATGGATTAATCAAAATCATAATAAATTCGGGCGAGGCTTGGAAAAGTAACAAGCACTGTACACAGAAAGCTATATATGGGCGACACACATGGTGTCGGGGCTTGTACTACCTTGATTTCCTTGTCTTTCTATGCTCATTACTCAGCCAGTATACATTTTCTTCCAAAATTGTTTGGCACATGTCATTTATTTGTAATCTTGAACATTCAGTGTAAGTTTCGTTTGATTCTGTGAGAATTAATTTTCTTTAACAATATCAATAATCCAATATCAATGAACAATTGTTTACTAAGGAATCTATTTGACTAACAAGTAGAAAAAAAAAATCGATTTGGTGTTTTCTAATATATTATTTGGCATTGACATGTCTCTTTCGAATATACTGATGGTTTGCTTTCTATTATGAATTTAGCAAGACCTTGCCGATTTTACCTCAATGCCTGACGATATCCCGCATCCAATACACGTGAAACCCTTGGTAGATAGCGGTAAAGCATTGACGAGTCTCTCACGTGAAGCAGTATCGGTAATATCCGTAAGACCTGCCCCGATTTCCGATGTCGATCCGAAGACTACGATTCCGAGCTTGCTGTCTGAGGGAATTACATTCATGATGAATTCAGCAGATGACTGGATCATTAGGTGAAATCGGTTCCCCTAAAAACAGAAGCATGTGATGTCATGGTAGAATATGGTAAAATATAATCTTTTAAGTTTTAAAAGACACATTGTATGAGCGTAAGTAGGCCCTATTGATATCAATCGTCCACTTTCATTAACGCAATAACGATTTAAACTTCAAACTTGAATACTTAAAGTTGTATTCGAGTTCAACAGGGTGTTTCTACTTTTAATAATATGTTACGATATAAAGGTGTACATATTCCAATCATCTATTTTTATGTCTAATTTGTTCGATTACACGTGGTAAGGGCTGGGTCCCATGAAGTGGACCCTCACCCTATTTTCGTACATGCCCTAAGTTATTGCCCCAAACTCCTAAGCTTTCGGGGGCTCCGCCCCCTGGACCCCACGCCAACTCGTGAACTGTCAGTGTCACAAAAAAGGTATCAAAATATGCTCATCTGACGGTGTATAAAATGTATAAAACCCTGAGCTTCCGGGGCTCCGCCCGCTCGACCCCGCCAGGATCCCTAAGGCGGGCCCCTGTATGCTTGTTTGACCATTATAAAATGCCTAAAACCCCTGAGCTTCTGGGGGCTCCGCCCCTTGGACCCAAAGCCAATTGGTGACCTGCCAGTGTCACGAATAAGGTATCATTATGCTCATATGACCGTAATTAAATGCCTAAACCCCTGAGCTTCCGGGACTCTGCCCCCTGAACCCAACCGAAGGCCCTAAGTCGGCCCCTGGATGCTCATCTGACCGTAATTTATTGTCCGAAACCCTTAAGCTTCTGGGGGCTCTGCCCCCTGGATCCCACGCCACATATAGCTCTGTTTGAGAACGCCCCCTATCGACAGAGTCCAGCGGCCTAACATGTACGTTAGCCTATGGACTTTTACCCCCCCAAAATCGTTAAAAATTCATTTTTAGTTTAAACGAAACGCACATCCACCCCGACGTACGTTATCACTAGCTCTTTCATTGGAACCCTCGTGTCCCATTGACTTTTAAAAGTTCACCCACCGTAATTTCATCAAAATACGTCGCAAGCTCGCCATCGCCTATATATAACACATGTTCAACTAGTCGAACTTTGGACTCAATTTACGACGCGATTGTAAGATTATAGGTCAAGCACACGAAGGATAAGAAGCATGAATTATCATAGATCAGTTTTGCTTGGTTCATTAAATCTACTTCAACCAACCCCACACCGTATTTTTTCCATTTAGTAAAAGCAAACATTTTGCCGAGGTAAGCAAAAACATGGACTAGGGTAGGTGCAGGGAATTGGAGACCCTTAAGCACATTTACATAATTTACATAAACATGAAAAATGTTACACACAAAAAAAGTTTTGTATTCTCTTCAGTAACCTCTTTTCTTTATATGGTACACAAATTGTGGGTATGATGTAACTGATTAATGAGATAACAATGATTAATGACATCAGCACCAAAGGTCTCTCATTACCTATATGTGCAGGTAATAAGGGACAGTTACAAATCAAGATATTTTAAATACAATTTGAATAAAAATGGGATTGTTATGGTTTAATAGTTCAAACACTTTTTGAAAGAGATATATGCTGCCAAAGTACTTACTGTAATTTTAAAACACTTTTAAAACAATGTGGCCCAAAATATTTCTGTACATGGACAGTTAACCAACCAGCATCAGGTCATTGACTGTCTTCGGCATACTCGACATTCACAACAAACGACCCCCATCTCTCTCTATCTCCCTCTTTTTATCTCTTCAAACTTCTCTCCTTTTTCGTTTTCTTTTAACCTTCCCTTTTCTCTCTTCTAGCATGTACTTATATGATGATTATTGATGTCTCGCCGAAATCTGACTCTCTTAATTTTCATTAATGTATTACATGTAATTAGGAATAATTTATTTATTTAATTATGATCATTCCACTCCCTGCTCTCTCTCTCTCTTCCTTTCTCTCTTTGTACCTCCACTTTTCTCCCACCCCCCTCTCTCTTCCTCTACTCCATTCGCTTTATCACAAAATATCGTAATATTATTGTACATGTATATAATTTACATCACTGTACCTTTGTAAATTGACCCTTTCAGCCTTGTGCTGCCGGTCGATCATTACATACCAATAAATGAATAATAATAATAATAATAAATCTTGGACCTGGTGTCCCCCATTGCCTGCACGCATTTCTGATCAGACACCATTCCTAATGTGCTATGCAACACCCATTCACAACATACAATGGCCATACATTTTCTGGGTTGGTTGGCACACTTCATAAAATTCATTTTAAAACTAATTTTTAAGAGCCACCCCTAAATATCTGCATACACCACAACATTCAGTGAAAATTGTGTTTATATATCAGAGCAAAATTTTACGATCAAAATTGGTTACCTTGGCCAATTTTGCCAATTTTCTCGGAGAAAGAGCACATTGTAGTCTTCGAAATGAATTGGATATATGCAGTAGTATTGTTAAAGGCCACAAATGGCGCTATAGCAATATTGGAGCCAACATGGACGGACAGTGATGGGTTCAAGCTTGGTGGTCTCCAATTCCCTGCACTACCCTATTCGATCATTAACAGAGGGGTGCAATTGTGGACCACAAACTCCTCTACAAACTCCTCTACTTTCAGGAAAGTATTTCATTGTATTATGTAGTTTTGTAGGTTTATTTTACTAACTCTTTAACTATCAGATATCAATGATAGTTTAAAGATATGGAAAAGGTTCTTGTATTTTATATTTAGCAAAGCAATCTCACATACAAAATCACTATCAAGTGTCGTCTGATCCGCCGATTGCCGTCTGCTATATACGTTCTATAGACGGCGAACTAGCTACGTTTGTGAAGGCGGAAATGAGACAACCGGAGCAATATGGCTCGTGGCCTGCCAGTGTCACGAATAAGGTATCAAAATATGCTCATCTGACGGTAATTTAATGTATAAAACCCCTTGGCTTCTGGGGGCTCCGCCCCTTGCACCCCACACCAATTTGTGTCCTGCCAGTGTCACAAATAAGGTATAAAAATATGCTCATCTGACCGTAATTTATTGCCCAAAACTCCTGAGCTTCCGGAAGCTCCGCCCCTGGACCCCACACCAATTTGTGTCCTGGCAGTGTCACAAATAACGTATTAAAATATGCTCATTTGACCGTTATTAAATGCCTAAAACCACTGAGTTTCCGGGGCTCCACCCCTTGACCCCTGCCAGGGCTTCGCCCCTTTACCCCACGCCAATTTACGCTACGCTCTACCTCATCGTAAATACCACCACACCCCCACCTTCATAGAGAAACGTTCAGCGGGGCCTGCATGTAAGAGTGGGGTGATGCGGATTTTTTTGTTGTCTACCCCCACCCCCCAAACGTCTTTGCTCATTTCGCCACTGCCGGTGTCACCATTACGTACCAATATTTGGCTCGCATAATGTCAAATTTGGGCCTCCCCCCTCCAAGAAATCCTGGATCCGCGCCTGCCTTAAAGTGATCCGGTAACTTTGTCTCAGATTCTGAAACAAAATCCTGGATTTAGCTCATGCTACAATGATAATTATAAACCTGTAGGTCAGTCAGGAACCCCATGACTTTTACAAACCGATCGCCTGTCTGATTAACAAGATATTTATGATTGGAAATCGAATCCACATTTTGCGTTTGCCAAACGGTTTTCACAACACTACAGTCTTTCGGGGAAAATGAGTGTGGTAAAACCGGTCACTCAAAGATTTTTACTATTTTGAGGCACTGTCTTCTTGATCTGTTTGGAGCGCGATTTTTCAGGGCTTCAATATTACACCATATCACAGACACTGATAACACATAGGGCCGTGCATCTCAGATTTGTTAAACGGTGCCTTTAATTCGCTGAAAGCATTCAATAAAGTGGTTTGTACCTGCTACCCATATACTTCAACTTGGGTGGAGAGTGGCAAATGTAGATTAACGTCTTGCTAAAGGACATTTATGCCTCGGCTGGGACTCGAACGGCGAACCTTGTGATCCACAGACCGGTGTCACATTCAATAGACTACACTATCGGATAATAAGAGAGAGAGGAAGGGAGAGGGACAGAGAACACAGACTTACTGCCATACTACCACTGATGTCGAGGACAAGTACTACACTTCTGACTGACGAGAGCTGGATGACCTCAAATACAGGAGTGGTGTTAGAGACAGGTTGGACACCGGCCTGGAAGTCTGTTGTCCGTTCCGTCATGACCTTCCATGCACTGTCTCTATCGCATAACCTATTCATGAGATTTGGTGCGTGGGGGTTGTGTAGGTTATCTGGGTCTGATGCATCGTCACCACAGAACTCCTCTATCTGAAATATAGGTATATAACGATAGACATTGGATAGTTGAAAATGTTACAAGAGTTCGCATGCGCTGACATTGGCGCCATTTTATATTACTCTTTATTTAAAATGGCGCCCATGTCAATATGATGTGAGCGCACAGCGCAGGCAGTGGTGCAACATTACATTGATGACGCAATGTTTACTCACAAATTAAAATGGCAGCCTTAAAGGTACTATGTCCCATTTGCAGGCCCAAAAAATGAAAAGGTTTAATTCCAACGGCATTTGAAAGATAATACTAATTTAGAACTTCCCTAAAAAAAGGTGGGGCTTGAAAATGTCTTCAAGTGGGAAAATAAAGACTATAAATTGTCAAATCGACTTAGGAGCTATAGAGCCAATAAGTAAAAGTCTTGATTTTTCAGACCATTGTACCGAATGGTCACACGTTTTATGCTGCGCAAAGATTCAATCAGTTTAATTTGGGCCATCACAAGAAGTGGGTTATTGATGTAGAAAAATGCTCATGTACCCTTTACAGCTCATTTTATGTATGTTATTACCAAAGAAGAAAAGGCCACTCAGTCACTCAATAGTTTCTGACAGTGAAGTCTAGCAAGTAAACGGGTTTCCTTGCAAAATTTGAATATTAGGATAATGCTAACGTTTAAATTTTTACAGATAGGACATACATGACATATTCATAATTTTTGCAAAGTTCTACAGAATTTGAGGTTGGCTGCAAAAGGGATATAGTACCTTTAAAGATAAACTTGATTTCTGGTAAAATATGAAAATTAATTCTCACAGAATCAAACGAAACTTACACTGAATGTTCAAGATCACAAATAAATGTCATTTGCCAAACAATTTTGGTAGAAAATGTATACTGGCTGAGTAATGAGCATAGAAAGATAAGGAAATTAAGTTAAGTAGGCCCGACACCATTTGTGTAGGCCCATACACATTTTGCTGTGTACAGTGCTTGTTCCTTTACCAAGACTGGGCCAAATTTATTATGATTTTGATGACTCCAGAACCTTGCAGTACAGACCAATACTTACATGCTACATGATCAACTTTTTTCTGATCCATTCCACACCTTTTCTTTCACATTGCAATCGCATGACCAGAACTTAACTTTATCTTTAACCGTGAGAGGTCGTATTGGAGATATACAAAGTATATATTATGGCTACTCATTGTCATCTATCTTTTCAGCAATGGAATGTGTGGAAGCATTTACCAGACTTGCGAAAGTCTACAGGAGTGGATGGAAGATTGCACACTAATTTTAAGAATGGTAAAAGCTTAAAGGTGAAATTCAAAGAAAATCACAAATATGTCAACTAATGTATCACTAGAAACTGGTAAGCTAACAGATGGCCATCGTACAAGTTTCAGGTCAACTACATATCGGGTGATTTATAAAAAAACAAATACAACCACCTCCATAGCAGCTTGGATATACGAGAGATTCGCCGGAAAAATAACGATGTTTTAATGACGTCACTATATGGACCAATACTGCCCAAGCAGACGACATCCAATAAAAAATGAACATAATTACAAAGCTATTATTTGTCAAATTATAATGAGTTTAGTGTATATAAGTGTAATGGCATGTCAAACCATTCAAAAGGGGATATGACCCGATTATGATAACTAAAATCTTTTGCTTGTAAATACACAGGATAGGGGATAATTAACAATCAAAGAAACCAGACTTTCAAATTGAAAAAAACCCGGAATGATATTAAGGACGGCATTTTTTCCCTCTAGAAACGCCGAACATGCCGCGGCGTTTGCAGCTCAATATACAATGGCGTCTAATTTTGTTTACAAGCGACAGATTCCTTTATTTTTGTATCGCTGCATTTGTCATCAAAATAAAACCATGCACCGGGTTTAGAGTGAGGCATTAGATTATACATTTAGCCTGATGGTAGTGAAGTAAAAGAAAAAACTCAAGAGAAGATGAAAACACAGGCACTGAAAATGTGTGAGATGTCATGGGACATCGTCTGCTTGTGCAAATCATGTCCATACTGTGATCTCACACATCTCAGCAGCGTTCGGAGAGCTCTCCAGGTGCTATGCCGGGGCTGTATTTAAGCGTTTTGTAATTTATAATAATCATTACTTCGAATGTTTTCAAGCATTGAATTTTGATAATCTTGTCGAATCAAAGTTTCAACTTTGCAATAATGAAAATAAAGTTATTTTTTAAAATCAATGAATATCTACTTTAAAGATAAAGTTGAGTTAAGGTCATGCGATTGCATAGTGAAAGAAACGGTCTGGAATCGATCAGAAAAGGTTGATTATTTAGCATATAAGTATTGGTGTGTACTGCAAGGTTCTGGAATCATCAAAATTATTAGAAATTTGGCCAAGTCTTGGTAAAGTTCTGTACACACAAAGATGTATATGGGACTACATGAACATGTGGCATAAAAATCTATCCCGATTTTTATGCTGTTATTTGCCATATATAGAATATGAAGACATTTGAAGAGCCATGCTTTTCAGGGAGCATGTTTTATCTGATGTTCTTGCACACTTGCATAATAACAATGATAACGCTCACCAATTATTTTCACCTCTTCCCAGAACTCCACCTTCTCTTTAAATAACGAATTCTTCTTAAAGGGAAAGTCCACCCCAAAATAAGTTTGTTTCGATAGAGGCAGAATAATAAGAAAATCAGGTGAGTGAAAGTTTGAGCAAATTCTGAATGAAAATAAGAAAGTTATGAATTATTGAAGTTGTGATCAATCAAATACAAATTGGCAACTCTATGACGTATCATGCGAGCTCAACTTCCATTTGCTCAGTACTAAAAAAATCTAAAATTTTCATTTTCCCTCAAGAAAAATTTCAACCATACATGCACCCTAAATATAATAATTGCAAATATGTTTCTATACTCCCCCTGCAAGGAACAAATATATATTCCGTCATCAATAACGAAGAAAACATGATTTTATGGAATATTATGCACAAAGCAAATGAAGGAGAGCTCGTATGATAAGTCACAGAGTTGCCAATTTGTATTTGATTGATCACAACTTCAATAATTCATAACTTTCTTATTTTCATTCAGAATTTGCTCAAACTTTCACTCACCTGATTTTCTTATTATTCTGCCTCTATCGAAACAAACTTATTTTTGGGGTGGACTTTCCCTTTAATTATTAACCCTTCAAACCAATGAAGGTTTTCTGTATTAGGTTGAAATGCTTGTTTTTGCATATTTTAGGTGTTTAAAATACGATCTATTTCATATTTATTCGTTAAAAATCCATTCGACTTTTACGTGCTGGGGGGGGGGGGGGGGTCCAATGTATTCTACCTATACGATACCAGCATCGTATTAAAGGTATAGACCAGTTTTGGAAACGCCCCCTCTCAAAAAAATGAAATAGAAGCTCTTTTAACCAATCATGTGAAAGAATATGTTTTGACTAATACGTGATGTTACAAATTTTGCCGGGATACCGCCTACAAATTATATATTTGGTAAATTATCATATCTATCCGGCCTGGATAGATATATCGCGTAGTCCAATATTTCTGTGTCACAGTGCATGTAACTTTACCAAGACTGGGCCAAATTTCTTATCATTTTCAATGATTCCAGAACACACCAATACTTATATGCTAGATGATCAACCTTTTATGATCGTCTCTTTCACAATGCAATCGCATGACTAGATCTGGTATATACCTTTAAATATAACGGCTGCCGGTGTGACCGCGCCGTTTGTCCTTCTAGTTTCGTTTGTCCGTCAGACATAATATGCGGGTTTTCTGCTCGCATGGTCGGTCCGATGGGGGAGGGGGGGGGGGGGGGAGCAAATGGATGTATACTTACACCCAGGTGCGTACTCAGGGGGGGGGGGGGGGTTCGGGGGTCGAACCACCCTCAATTTATTTTTGTGTGTGCGTTTTTTTAGGAAACCCCATCCCCTCAATTAAAAAAAAAAAACCTTCGAAAAAAATCCTGCGTACGCGCCTGCTTACACCTATGGTGTAGATGGGCTTCTTCTTCATTTTTCTGTTCGATGTCACTCAGGCCCGGATATACGGGGGGCGACGGACCCGCCCCTCCCCCTTTTAAAAAAAAGAAAGGAAAGGAAAGGAAAGGAAAGAAAAAGAAAGCGTGTCCCATATTTGAACAGTAAGTTGCACCTGAAATTGCAACATGTGCATTATAAGCTCCGAACGTTTTCTTTCATACAAATACACAAAAAAAAGTCCCAAAAGCTTGAATGCATACTATTTCACAATAAACATGTACATGCAAATGCATGATCATGTTTTTGGCGCTTCTTTCTGCCAGCAAAGTAGTTTTCTTCTGCATTTAGTTTTGTTGCTGGTATGAGTTTAAATTCATATTATTCTTATTAAACAGGAATAAATAAATAAATATATAAATACATTTGTACAATGATAGTTATACAATGATGATAGAAGAAGCGATGAAAATCGCAACTGATCTTTCCTTCTTTTCTTTTCTTCCTCATTATTTTTTTTCCATTTCTCTCCTCTTTCCCTTTCACTTCCCTTCCTTTTCTCTCTTTTCGCTGAGAGGGGGGGGGGGGGGGGGTATGTAAATCGTGAAAAATCGTAACTGATCTCCCCTACCTTCCTTCTTCCTCTTTTTCCCTTTTCCTTTCCTTCCTCTCTCTCTCTCTCATAATATAAGTTTGCTGAAGGAGGCAAGGGCCTTTCGCCAACCCGTCCGATCCTCAGGTTGTTGACGGGATTCAATCGCAACTGATATGCCCCTTCTTTTCTTTTCTTCTTTTTTTCCTTCCCTTTATCTTCTATTTTCCTTTTTTCCCCTTTCCTCCCTTCTTTCTTGTTTATCGGGGGGGGGGGGGGGGCAACAGCACGGGAGGCAAGGACTTTTCGGCCCCCCTGATCTCCTTTTTTTCCCCTTTTTCTTTTCTTCTTCCTTTCCTCTTCTCTCCTCTTTCCTTTTCCCTTCTGTTCCTTCATTCTCTCTCTCTCTCTCTCTCTCTCTCTTTCTTTTGTGCTAAAGGGGGGGGGGGAGGCAGGCGAAGGCTTTTCGCCTCCGATCCACACCGCGTTGGTGGGAAAAATCACAACTGATCTCCCCTACCTTTTCTTTTCTTTCCCGTTCCCTTCTCTTCCTTCTCTCTCTTGTAAGTTTGCGGGGGGGGGGCGGGAGGGAGGCAAGGGCCATTTGGTCCTCCCCCGATCCCCAACTTGTTGGCAGGAAAAGTGCAACTAATATCCCCCTTCTTTTGTTTCCTTCACTTTAGCTCCTCTTTTCCTTTTTTTCATTTTCCTTCCTTCTCTCTCTTTTTCTTTTTTTGCTGGGGGTGGGGGGGGGGGGAAGCAGGCGAAGGCCTCTGCCCCCCGATCTCCTTCTTGCCCCCTTTTCTTTTCCTCTTCCCCTTCTTCCTTTCCCTTTCTCTCCTCTTTACTTTTCCCTTCTTTTCCTTCTCTCTCTTTTTTGTTTTGTTTTTTTGGGCGCCCTCCCCCCACCCCCTGGATCCGCGCCGGGAAAGACATGCAGTGTCACCCCTAACTAGCTGGCAAAGCTGAATACCAGCCGTTTCATTCATTGTGTATAATTATACTTGATATTGACTATGTACGTGTGTACTAGAGTACGGACAGTCGGTGCGGGAGGCGGACATTTGGTGCGAGACCTCTTTCGCACAGATTGTCCGTCGGACAATATATTGAGACACGCACGGAATGTTCGACACGGACATTCTGCGCCGATAAAATCCGCACCGATCTTCCGCTCTCGATCGATCTCTAATTCCCGGACGAACGGTGCGAGTTAAATTTTACGCGGTCATACCGGAGCTAAAGCTAGGTTGATAATTTCCAAAGCTTTTTGGAAGCGCATAGAGACGTTATATAATGTGATATGCGCTATACAAGAACCGAATATTATTACTATTATTAAGTATAACCGAAATGAATAGGCTGACGATTCCAAGAGCTTGGATACGACCACATTACAAGGAAATAGACAACACGCGTGATATACTAACTTCTGTTTGGTTTTCTTTATTCTTGGAAACATACATATATGGGGCAGGAATGACCAAATACCTTTAACCTGTCCTTATTAGTGGACAAGCATAAAACAAAATAATGCTCTAAAATAATTGCTTTGCATTTTAGGTTTGGGTAATCCATGCCCTCCATGCTTGTAAAAACACTATAAAATAGGATACGAGTGGATGCCACGCGCATTTTTTAAATAAAAATTTCATTTTCGGCTCAAATGAAAGAATACCCCAAATCTTGATTTTTTAATTTTTTGACCGAATACATATTATCTGAAAAAGACCTTACAGTTTTCATTAAGAGTTTGAAGTAATAAACCTGTTTAATACACATTTCAATGTTGGATATAACATAAATATGAATGGCGCAATGAATCATAAAGTGTGATTTACTCTGAATATGGGGTTATAAAAACTCTTTACATTTCTAATTTTTTTACGCACCATAAATCTGTCCATTGGAATATTTCTTATTGATTACAAATAAAATGTAGGTAGTTATGCCACATACAGCAAAGAATTGATCAGATAACATGGAAGATATGTAATTTTGTTTTCCCAAATGAATTTTGAGTGGAAACACACGGCACATGTACTGTATGTAACAATTCCCACATATTTGCAGTAGTATAGTCATTGGGCCAAAAACTGAAAAGGAACACGCTCCCAGAGACGCGATCTCAAAGTTTTGTTTCTGTTAGCTAGGACCCTTTCCTATCGGAATGTGCTTGTTAGAATTAAAGTTTGAGATTGATTTGACTACTACTAAATTTGTAACGGATCGAGAAGTTAATTTTATTTAAAACCCCAAAAGGAGGTTAAAATATGTTGCAATAAATTATCAATAATTCATTGCATTTTCCCCTAGTCCTCAACAGAAAAAAAATCCTTTGTGAGGCCATGTCTTAAACAATAATGCATGGCCGTGCAGAGGATTTTTTTCCTGTTGGGGACTGGGGAAAAATGAGAATGTATACTATTATCTAGATCTATTAGGAATAACTCATTATCAAAACCATTCCGTAAAATTGGGGTAAACAAAATTATTCCACCTTTATGACCAACAGTGTATATATGAAACCCAACGTTACGATAGTGCAATGTCCATTTTTAATGTTAGGAGATATATCTTACCCTTGACTCAAGGACAGAGTTTACCGATTGTGTGTGAGGATCTCTGGTTCCAAACAGCAGTGAAGCTGTAGCCGTCTGTCCTATAGTATCAGGAACGAAGCGGCATTTGCTATTATCACCACTCTGGTTGTCATTAAACTGGCAAGTAGTTCCATCAGGCATCTCAATATTTCCCTTGATCTTGAGAGAGCAGCGGGTTCCTTCTGTGCCACCATCGGATGGGTAGGTAGGATCAGTGCGTTTGTCACCGTCGTAGTGTTCTTTGAACAATCCCCAGCGGTAATACCCCCAGTTTCGGACTAAGACGCTATCTATCGACACACAGATTTAATGAAATAATATTTGACATTCATGTCTACTGCAAAAAATCAAGAGAAGGGTCATGGTAGTAGCGTTGCCAGTTTTTTTTTAGTATGGATGTGGGTAAGCCTTGTGCGGGGATGGGTGGGGGCTGTGTAATCAAACAAACAGAATCTACCTACTTATAACATTTATGTTGCACGCAGCGTATGTAATATACTTACATCTACATGATAAAATGATGATGTTGATAATGGGTAGATTGGGGATTACGATGATTAGTAACAAGTTTCAATTTTGTCAAAAGTAGACAATTGAGCAAGTGAAGTTGTAGGCGTACTGTGTGCAAACGTTAATAATTTAATCGAATGTTATCTGGTCATTATTTGTCAATTTATTTTTATAAAACGTATTTTTTGCTGTCACTACATCAAACATTAATTGTTGGCTCTTATTATTTTTTCTTTCATGCTGTCGGTCGAATGTCAATATGTTTCTGTTGATTCTCCCTAAATTAAGTAAATGCTGTCATCCGCCAGTTGTAGGCTTACAAGTACAAGTCATTTGAATCTTGAGAAAAAAATGGAGTTTCATGAAATACGCCTACCTGTGTTGCCAAACATTTTTTCTCGGTACTGCATATCTAGTATATAGGACGGTGTCAAGTGCATCAGAGTTCCTTCGGTCCCACAACCTACGAAATTTTCGACAACCGGTTCGTCATCTGTACGGCTATGCACGAGAATGTTTGCAGACTGTGAGTTTTCGGTCCTAGCAAACTGGTACTGGCTCTGGATGGACCATGTGTTTGGGACCAGAATCTTGATATGCCCCCAGTAGACGTGCTGCTTCGTGGCATTGTAGAGACGCTGAGATGCTGATGTAAACATCGTCTGAGTGACAAAGAGAGAGAGAGAGAGAGAGAGAAAAGAGAAAGGGAGTGTAGAGAGATGGAGATGTAAGAGGTGTTGTAGTCCAGTGGTTTAAGTCCTTCATTTTATATTCAAAGGTCGATCCTCGACACGGCGTTAATGTTCTTTGGCAAAGCATTAATCTAGATTTGTCACTCAGAACTAAAGAGAGAAACGGGGACCTGAAATGATAACAAGAGCATTTGTGTTTAATTGCCATATGCCCTCACGGTAACTATATAGTAGGAATGGTCCTCCAGGGAGTGGAGATGGTGTAACTTGTGCTTGAATGAATCCGAATACCGAGGTAATAAATCAGTAAAGCGCTAAGAGACGGTATTTTGTATTAGTGGGTAATCTTGTAGATTATTAGGCAAGAATACAATATACAAGAATACAATATACAATATACAATATATCTGGAACGATTTCTTTATCTCCATAAATATGTCAAATGATCCTTTACAATTTTCTATTTCTAATTCGTCGGTTTAATCAAGTGAACGCAATATGTCCTTAAGACGGGTATAACTTTCATGGGTCAGTGTACGTGCTTTGTGAGATGAAAGTTTTTGTATATTAAGTACGATTAGGATTCTAGCAAAGAAGGGAAGTAATCCGTGATATCTATGATCTGTAGGGCGGGTAGGACGAGTGAAGACTGAGGAAATGCGGGTGAAACAAAAGAAGCCTTGATGAGCAAAATTTGTCAGCTGGCAGCAGTGGCGGATCCAGGGGGGGGGGGGCCCGGGGGCCCGGGCCCCCTCCTTTGATAAAAAAAATCATGTAAAAACACGTGATTTTTTTACCTTTTTTGGGGGGTTGGCCCCCCCTTGAGCGCCGGGGGGGGGGGGGGGGGTGCAGATTTTTAAATTTTCGAGGACCAACAAAATAAATGTGCCCCCCCGCCGCCCGCCGCCCGCCCCCCTGGATCCGCCACTGCCCCCCACTGAGCGACTTTTCGGCCGGCACGATTTTCAAATTTTCGGGAGCGAAAAAAAAAAGGTGGGCCCCTCCCCTGAGAAATCCTGGATCCGCGCCTGGCCGGCAGAAGAGATTGGTGTCAACATTACCCCCAGACGCAGTTCTGCTTGATATTAGGTTGGGAAGGGGGAGCTCATTGCCTCACATGGTCTCATTATCATTACGTCTACCTATCAGTCATTTGATCACAAATAATGATAATCTTCAAATGATTATTAGACCTTATGGATAGTAGACGAAATGGGCATTAGACAAATTGGGAATTAGACCGTCTGGCAATTACACCTAACGAGTGATATACCAAAGAGGTATTATACACATGGGAGAATAGACCAAATGGGAAAAATTGTGCTCCTCCTCTGTGGATGCCCAAAATATTGTTTTACTCTAACAACATGCTTTAATTTTGTTTCATTATCAATATAATTTAAAGGACCATTTGTTGTTTCAACTGCACATTAAGTCATTATAGCAAAGATTGGACTCGAGGATTCGCACAAAAGTAAGGACAACGGTGATTTTAGTGAGTTTTATCAACTGAACTTCATAAAATCGCGATGACACGTGCTAAGTTGAGTTCATAATAGAGTACATACAGGATGCCATTGCACTAAATTTAAATTTGCGTGTGAAAGATAGACTGCACTGGTGACAATTATGACAATGGGGATGTTTTGGAAGTAAAGAGTGGGCTTCCATGTGGTCTACATTTTTTCTCTTCTTTGGGTTGGTAGTAGCTATTTGCATATAAGTCAGATGGCTGTCTAAACACAAGGGATGCTGTCTTAAACACAAATCGTTCACTCACCCATAGAGGATATCTTAAAACCCGAATCCCTTATTACAGTAACTCTGTGGCTTTTTTAACATTGATATTAGGGACTTTTAGATTTGCACGTCGACATAGTGGACTGCTACGCGTGGCAAAATACGTCACACGTAGCAGCCCACTATGTCGACGTGCAAATCTAAAAGTCCCTATTAAGTGTTGTGGTGAGGTGAAATATAATCCAGGACTCCAGGTCCCCTTGAAAGCAAACAATGTGGGACCCAGAAAGTAAATATTCTCACGGTTAACGACAATGTATTATTATTCTTATTTGTTCAACGTCTCTACAATGCTTCTTTAATAAACAACATTTTTCAAATGCTAGCCTGCCTGGGAGAAGTTTCAATTGTTGAAAGGAATGTCTGGACTGCACCCAGTAGATCATGCTGGTTCGAAGATTGTTTTTTCTTCTTTTCAATTACAAGGTCGAGCACGTATAGTACACGATCTAGTGGGTGCGAACTAATATTTCTGTACAACAATTTAATGTAGCGTCCAGGCGCGTACGCAGGGGGGGGGGGGGGGGGGGGGTTTGGGGGGTTAAACCCCCCCCTTTGGAAATTTTTTGTGTGTAAACCCCCCTAAAAAAACCCTAAAACCCCCCCCTTTTGGATTTTTTTTTTTTTTTTTTTTTTTTTTTTTTAATTATTAAAAAAAAAAAAAAAAAAAAAAAAAAAAAATTATTCCCATGGCCGACCTAAAAAAGGTGACCTTACCCCCCCCCAACGGAGCAAAATGTCAAATTTCCAAATTTCGAGACCAAAAAAAAAAAAAAAAAGTGTCCTCTTACCCCCCCCACCCCCCGCTTATTCAGCGGTCGGCTGAGTCGTTGCGATTTTTTTGGGACCCAAAAAAAAAAAAAAATGTGTCCTCTTACCCCCCCCCCCCCCCCCCCCCCCCCCCCGCTTATTCAGCGGCTGGCTGAGTCGTCGTTGCGAAATTTTCGGACCGATTTATAAATGTTAAAACCCCCCCCCTTGAAAAAATCCTGCGTACGCGCCTGGTAGCGTCACATGGTAATCGATTGGCACATAAATTCATTAGTACTAGATTTCATCATTTTAGCTCAAATCTAGCAACAATCGTAGGCAATTATTGCTACGCTCACTCTTTCATGAATCATAATCATGTTGCTCTACAGTTGATTCCACTGATAGGATGATTTAGCAGAGAGGGATATGAGTGAATATGCTCAAGATTAACGAGGATGTATCATTATGCTTATTTGTTCAACAAATGTCAAATATTGTGAAGACAAGTGTGTGTGTGTGTGTGTGTGTTAGAAAAGATGAAAAAGGGCATTTTTAAGTATAGGGATGAGAAAAAAAAATAGCCATTAGAATGGAAAAGCTGATTTCACATTTCTTAAAGTGGGAGCAGCTTAAGATTAATTAAGATTTGTTTTCTTCTCCACCGTGAGCTTGTTAAAATTGTAACTCTATTTTGCAGCCTAGTTAACTTACTTATTTAGTATATTTGTCTTGAGTTGAGAATGTTTAGCAGACATCCACTGAGTAAGTAGTGTGTGTGTGTGGGGGGGGGGGGGGGTGGGTGGGTGGGTGGGTGAGTATGTGTGTGTGTGTGGATTGGTAGGTGAGAATGTGTGTGGGTGGATGGAGGTGTTTGTGTGCGGGGGGCAGGGAGGGGGCAGTGAAGAGGAGACAATGTTCCAGTAAAATTACCTCCAGATTTTTTATTTTTTATTTTTTATATAAGTGAATAACATTTACAATTGACATATATATTATGTTTAGGTACTTTTAGGTATATGTTTACTCTGTTCCTAATTTATATATATACTGCAAATACGTTTTTGTTTAATTATGTTTATATATAAGCAATCAATATTTTAAACGTTTATTTTATTCAATTGTATGTTATTGTTTGTATTACACATTTGGAGAAATAAAACAAAATTGCTTTAAAAAAAAGTGTCTGTCAGTCAGTCTGCCTGACTGACTGTCTTGTTCAATGCACTGTTTCATTCCTGACCCAGTAACTTGGCGTAAGTGAGATCTGGCAGTCTTGTAAAGATTGTCTGATGTTCAGTTATGCATGTAGAGATTCAAATGAAAATGGTACCTAAATTTACTGGGTCTTGATAACTCTATCAAGTCATATCATGAAATCCATGATTAAATATTCATACTTCAAACAATACAACTTTTAAAAAAGTGAGACATTTTTTCTGTCTCATTCTTTATATTATCAACTCGCAATTCATGGCTGAAATATTATCAAGAGTAAAGAAAAAAAACTATATATTTCAAAATAAAGTTAAATATAGAGAATCATGTAGTAGACAATACAATCATGACAATAGACAATACGTCATGCATCATTGTCTTTCATTTTCCCTAACTTGCACTGTTTGCACTGTTCGGATGATTTAGCAGGGAGGCAGGGGCGGTCCAGCGACTTCCAAAGTAGGGGGGGGGGGCACCAAGAGAAAAGGGCATTTTCTGTAGAAAAAAGGCACCTACAAAGGGAAATCTTTTTAGACATTGGTATATGCCCTTACATTGTGATAACAATATTTCACTTACAATTTATACACCATTGTCTTTCATTTTAACTTAACTTGCACTGTTTGCACTGTTCGGATGATTTAGCAGGGAGGGATAGAATATCCTATACCGGTTAACGACGATGTATTTGTACAATTTGACAATCATTTGTGTACGATGTCTCTAAAGTGCTTCTTGATTAAACAACATTTGTTAAATGCTATACGCTCCACTCCACTCAACTGTTGTACAGAAATTTCTGGCATGCATCCAGTAGATCACGCTGGTTCAAACCAAAATTCTGACTTCTTTTCAATTACAAGATCGAGCACGCGATCTACTATGGGTGCGGACCAAATATTTCTTTACAACAATAAACAACAATGTGGTACTGCTTTATGTAGCGTCACATAGCAATCAAAATGGCAGATAAATTCATTAATATCAGGTTGAATCATTTTAGAGAAAACTGAATTTGAATCCCGGACTATGCCCTTCACCCACCTTTCGCTCGCTCTCTCTCTCTCTCTCTCTCTCTTGCAATACGATCTTGGTAACGAATGTGCCCTTTTGCCATACCCCCATCCCTAGCTACGCCTATGACTTCATTAATATCAGGTTTAATCATTTTAGAGAAAACTGAATTTGAATCCCGGACCCTGCCCCTGCCCACCCACCTCTCGCTCTCTCTCTCTCTCTCTCTCTCCCTTTCTCTCTCTCTATCTCTCTCTCTCTCTCTCTTTGCAATACGATCTTGGTAACGCATGTGCCCTTTTGCCATACCCCCATCCCTAGCTACGCCTATGACTTAGAACGTTATCTATGTAATTCCAAACAGTAGGTCTTACAAGTAACAAAGAAACTGGAAGCAAGGATGATTGAGTAGATACTTCTTTAGCTATTGTTTCCCAGGTTTGCAATTTGATGATTTCGTGAAGTTCATGATTTTACATATTGATAATGAAAATGAGTATGAATATTCGTATCATCAATGTGAGCACGTGAGCATGTGAGCAGTATCATCACATGATGAGCAAGAAACAATGTTTTTGTTCACACACGGTAGCCTAAACCTTGTTAACACTGTTATCTCCTTAAAAGGAACTCAATCCTATTATTACACTATGATTTATATTTTGACAATATATGTCATTAAAAATAACAGCAATAAAGAAGAATAAAAATAATATTTTTGAAAGACTTTTAGCATGGATGTCATGCATTACCCCCCCAAAAAAAAAAAAGCTGTCCAAAGTAACACCATTACATCTTGGCTGGTCTCCCTATACGGGATCATATCCACTGTAACAGGGATATTTACGTAAAATAAACACTAAATATAAGTTTCTGTTTACAGGTTCAATACCCAACATCAAATCAAATCATAATTTTGTTTTATCCTAATCTAATGTAAGAGGTGAATTCAAATACTAAAATCATCTTTGACGAGCATTTTGGGGCAATCTGCCTCCTTATATTATCTGACGTTCTTTTTTCCCTTTTCCCTCATCTCTCCCCTCTTTTTGTGATTTTGGTCATGCGATTGGGGCAGGGGCACGTGTCCCCTGAACAGCATATCGATATCAAATTAGAATCTTGTTCATAATTATCATTACAATATCAATGCCCTTTTATCAGGCCTCGTCGCACTAGGTGCAATACTTATAATACACACATCGTTCTTTAGGTTCTCAAATCACATGGTGCTATGTTTTATTGTAATTATTATAACAATAATTATAACAATGCAATCTAAACGTAACTGTATATGAGAAATTGATGATCATTTATATATTTGCGTTTAAGGAAATTAACTCCCTTTTCCAAGAAGGTGCATATTTACGATGACTAAGTCGACATGTGAGTGATTTCTATGAGTTATAGATATAACAAAAATTATTAAAAAAAACAACATTTACCCTCTAGAGTGTTGTAAAGAGCCAAGTTTTGATATTCAAAAATAAAATTCATGTTCGGTCACCTCACTCACTCGCAAACCGTTCAATACTCAATCGGAGGTATCATCGATCTGAGCAAATCATAAAACGTTAGAATGCTGAAAGTTGAGAGTGATTCTACAAATGCAAAATGTCTATGAGGTCAACGATTAACTGTGGGATGAGGAATGACTTTCAGTAGAATTCAGAAAATCGTTTAAAACTACAAATACACAATTATCTTTCTCGGTCGCTACATACCCCTGCAAATATACGATTTGCAGTATACTCAAGGAACGTCGGTAGGATACAAAACTTAGTCAACGCAAAGGTAAATCTTGTCATGGGGGAGGGGGAAGGGAATCCTTAAAAAAAAGGCTTCCCCGCTTGTCGTCATGACGATTCTTTGCATGTCCTCCCCCTGAGTGTGGCGATTACTTTATTTTTTATTTTTTTACGTTGAATCTTACTTGTTACTTGTTACTTGTAGAGATAATCCCGATGGCAGCTATCATACAGCTAAACTGGGATGTCCGTGCAACGTGCTGGCATAGTGACAGTAAATGAAGTAATTCAAAACAATGAATTATGTCTAATTTTTACAATAAAACGGTGGACGTGCAAGTAAAACCCGAGACGTGGAGTCTACAGTAGCTTGGACCCAACAGAAGGAGGCAACGCTCTGATGATGGGTAGAGCAGCCTCCTGGAAGATGGTCACTGTTGGAGATATTACCGCAGCAGCTAATAGGTGGTTCCACGTCCAGATGGTGCGAGGATAGAAGGAGTACTTGAAGCTATCAATGGAAGCTGTGGGTACTGCATACTTCAGAGGGTGATCATTTCTGCCCAGATATGTAGCTGGGATAATGTGAGTGGGAAAAGGCATGTTGAGTTGATGATGGTGCATCTTGTAAAACAAAGTGGACTGTGCAAGAAGCCTGCGATTGTGAAGGGTATCCCACCCCAGTTTGTTGACAAGTACTGTGACTGATGTTATTCTCCAGTAGTCTTGGTATACAAAAAAGGCGGCAGCTCGCTGTACTTTCTCAAGACTTTGTATTGATGTCAGAGTCCGAGGGTTCCAAGCTTTACTGCCATACTCAAGTTGAGGACGAACAAGCATTATGTAGGCTTTGGATTTGAAGTTCTTGGTGCACGGTGATAGAGTTCTGCGTAGGTGGCCAAGGGTTCTATTGGCTTTCTGGGTGGTGAGTTTACATTGGGTGTTCCATTTATTCTTATGACCTTATTATCTCATATTATGTGTTAGCTTTTGGTAAATTATCTTGTTACACGTGTTCATGTATGACTGTTTCGAACATAATTGGTAGGGTTATCTCTGGCCTGGCAGATAGAGGGAGTCGGGGGCACGACTTATCCATGACAATTTGCAAACCTAAATCGTGCATACTGCAGGTAACGCAGAAATGTTTCCCGTTAAACATTGCAAGCCCAAAATGCTCCTGAAAAAATGTCCCCTTTTGTTGTCCCTTGCCTGTCAATACATTCGATAAATGTCCTACCTTTCACTAAACCTTGTATCGGCGGCTTCAAACATGTCGGAGTAGTAGCAGCAGGAGTGGTTATAGTATGAACAGTATAGGAGTAGAAGAGAAGAAGGAAAAGAAGAAGAAGAAGTAGTAGTAGTAGTAGTAGTAGTAGAAGGAGAAGAAGAAGAAGTAAAAGTAGTTACAGCAGCAGCAGTAGTAGCAGTTGTTGTAGGGATTGTAGTAGTAGTAGTAGTAGTAGTAGTAGTAGTAGTAGTAATACAAATCATGTTTATAATGATTAAAATTATTCAAATTAAAATTAATAATTCGTAGTGATATTGTCATTCTCCAATCTCAGTCTTCGATTTAGTGAAGTGACATATACAAGAAATAAGCTATGAGACGAAAATTAACTCATACTCGAACTTTCTTACTTTGAGATTTTCGATGATGGTCAGATTCTCAGGCACGTTTTTGTTGATTGCGATGAGTATATTTGAGTAGGCTCCATTTTCCAGGTTGATGATATTCTTCTGGGACGTTACCACTCCTACAAGAAATATCTTCAGCAGTAAAAGCAACAGAATCCTCTTTTGATATTCCATTTTCTTTCAGCAGATACACTCCAGAGTATACCGTAAGTCTGAGGAGATCGTAAGATATGTCCTGATAGCGTCTTTTGGGTTATGTATCTCATATGTTGGCAAATTATGATTTGCTTCGAAGGAAACTATAAATTGTAATCCATGATATTCATGCAGAATCGCAGTTTGTTCATCAAGAGCGACTAAATTCGTTTTGGTTTGTATACATCAGGTTGAAGACTCAAGGATCGTTCAGATATGAACTGGCGAACCCGCGGCGGATTTTTGTTATGATGATGTAGAGTGTACTAGCTTCAAATTTCTCGTACCATGACATCATATTTGGGAATCTTTAAGGGATTTCCCCCTTCGTGTTTGTATACTCAGCGTCAATGGCAATGACAATGACAAAGAATCGAAGGAACCACACGAATCAAGGCCTCAAGTCAAGTGTGGGCCCTGTCGTTCAGGAGCATTGGGGGAGCATTGGCATATTATATATAACTATAGGTATAGAAATCCATAATACTCGCAGGAACAAACAACAAGAATGATAAATTTATGTGTAAGTACGTGCCGCAATCTGTAGTTCCAGATGAAACAGCCCAATGTTATATTGACGCAAAAGAATAACAGCGCCCTCAAGATTTATACGATTGTCATCATCGTTTCATTTGAAATTTGAAAATTTGAAAGTAAATGTCAAAATGTCGTTTGAGATGTTAAGCAAAACTTTCATTAATATATAAGACTAAAAACAAACAGTTATAGAAGAAAGTTATGTAATATAGTAGGGAATAATTTGTAATTGAATTAAATATTGGAAACATCTTTGTAAACATTAGACAGTGTTGCAAAAAGATAATAATAATAACATAATGATGACATGGTTAATTGTAGTGGTAATAATGCTAATGATAATGACAATGATGATTATAATCATAATACTACTAATAAATTACATTAATAACAATGGCAACACTAGCAACAATAACAACAACAAAACTACTACTTATAAAAATAACAGTAAAATAATAATAATTATCTGGATTTATATAGTACTTATAAGACGAAATACTGTCTTCACGCGTTTTACAGCTATTAGTACCACATTAATCGGAATCATCACGCAAAATGTGCACCATCTGCACTCCATGGGGAGCACTTCTCCCAAAAGGTATGAGGGTATATGGCTATTACTAACACACAGACTTTCGTCATTCTACCAGGTCCCCATTTCTCTCCTGGGTATGGAGTGGCAAATGTAGATTAATGTCTTGCCAATTCAATGACATGTGTGCCATGTCGAAGATCAAACCATCGACCTTTGCATTTCAAGTCAAGTGCTTAAACCACTTGCCTAGGACATCTGTACAAATGACACAATGACATCTTTTAGTTTGCACATGATAGCCTCATTCCTCATAATTCAGGTCTATAGACGGCCTTTAACATGATAAGACGCTCAAGTACTCAAAGAATCTCTTCCTTGCGGCTTCCCATTTAAGTCATATGGGTTGAGAGGGGCAAGTATAGATTAATGACTTGCCCATGGATATCGGTGCCGAGGCAGGGATTCTAGTCCGGTAACTTATCAACTGTACCACAACACTTCCAAATAACTAACCCAGACATGAATTACATCCGAAGTCACAAACCTGACAGATTCCTCCGGAAACCTTGGTAGGTGCCACTTGAATCAGTCGATGCTGTCGAGCTTGGAGACATCATGGTTGTATTCCTACCAGGACTGGTTCCTTCTAGAAGATTGGGTGTTCTCAGCCGACGATGATAGTAGTTGCCATGGTAGCAGTCTTCGGAGTGGCTGTATTGGATGGATGTCAGTCAACATCATCATCATCATCATCATCATCATCATCATCGTAATTTTAATCGCGCACATATCCATCTCATATGATGCTCAAAGCGGCGACAACGTACCGTTGATCAACATGACTCTAGCAAGCTTTTCCGAAGACGCTGAAATTCATTCAATGACTTACATTTTACCAGGTACTCATATTTACATCTGGTTTGAGAGTGGGAAACAGAAATTAATAACTTGCCAAAAGACATTGGTGCGGCTATGTCTTGAACCGCAAAACATTTTGTTCCAGTAATAATCTGTTTTATGAGATTAAGTGATTGTTACATCAATGTCATTTCGTTGCTCGCTATAATCGAAGGACTGGCAATTTGTGTAAAAGCACAGAGATGAATGGTTAAAAATAAACTTGAGTTCTGGTAAAAAAAAAAGAAAAAGGTGAATTCTCACGGAATCAAACGAAACTTACACTGAATGTTCAAGATTACAAATAAATGTCATTTGCCAAAAAATTGAGGTGGAAAATGTATACTGGCTGTGTAATGAGCATAGAAAGATAAGGAAATAAAGGTAAGCAGACCCGACACCATTTGTGTAGTCTCATATATATCTTTTTATGTACAGTGTTTGTTACTTTACCAAGACTGGGCCAATTTTTTATTATGAGTTTGTTGACTCCAGAACCTTGTCGTACACACCAATACTTTTCTGATCCATCCCACACCTTTTCTTTCACGATGCAATCGCATGACCAGAAATCAACTTTATTTTTAAGAAAGATCTACTTTGTCTTTTTAAACTTACAATTGAATAAATGTATTAAAAAAACGTATCCGTAGTTGGGGGGGGGGGGGGATGATAGGTGCCAACATATTTTCGGCAATGGATCAAAGCAACCAAGAGGTAGAAGCGTGTGGCAGGTTGCTACCCCTCCCAAAGCGCGTAGCCAGGATTTCATTTGGGGGGGGGGGGGGCGGTAGTGAGCAACCCTAGGGGGTTGGGTGCAGGGAGGAAGGAGTTTCCCCCTCGTTTCATTAAATTATTAGAGAAAGAAGACGATTCGTAGTATCGTGTCCTTATCTGAGTCTAATTCCCCCCGCCCTCCCGCGCGATGCGCGGAAGCTTTGACGTTTCGTTTAATTATTACTCATAATCCTTGTCTATATTCGTTTTCGCTCATCCCTGCGCGAAGCGCGGAAGCTTTCGCATTTCATTACATTATTAGAGAAAGAAGACGATTCGTTGTATCGTGTCCTTGTCTGAATGCAGTTTTCCCCTACCGCGCGAAGCGCGGAAGCTTCGACGGTTCAATAAATTATTACTCTTAATCTTTGTCTATATTCATTTTCCCCTCCCGCGCGAAGCTTTACCGTGTCATTAAATTATTAGGGAAAGATGACGGTTCGTTGTACCGTTCTCGACTCTTAATCTTTTTCTTCCTACGTCCTCTTCCTTTCTTCTCTCTCTCTCTCTCTCTTTCTCTCTCTCTCTTTTTTGGCCGGTATTTTTTTATTAATATAGGCGCCTGTATCCTCTCTGTCTCACTCTCCCACTCTCTACTGTTTTGCACTTTTTTTGCTTCGCGCTTAACATTTAGCTCGTTGCTTTTTGACGCTGCGGCTTCGCATGTGGCGCACTGCATTTCTATGATGCTGTTGATTGAATAAATTGAATAAATTGATTAATTCCTGATGAAGCCGTATGAGCGAGAATTAAATATATTCTTGTCTCATATACGGTTGTCTCATTTACGTATGTATTATGAAAATGAGATAGCAACATGTGTATATTGATGGTCATCTAGCAAGTAATAACCATTAACTACTCCCATCTGGCTCTCATCATTAATTTTTCTCCTCATTTTTAATTTTTTTTATGGTGAATTATTAGGGGGGGGGGGATGATTGTACAGGCCCCCGGGATCGACACCCATGCATACACACCAATCAATGGTTACAACGCTTTCCTAGTGAGTTTTAAAGCTATTACGAAGTTTTGGGAAATTTTGAAAATTGGCTGTAGAGTGATTCTTTACAACTTTGATATATTTGGATGCCCCTGTGAATGTACTATAAGCACTAGACAATTTAGCATCTAAGACACTTCTGCTTTCGAGAAAAATAAAATGTTGATAAATATCAAATAGGACCTACGACCGTACAATAGTACCTGCTATCATGAAATTCTCAGAGTATGTAGTTGAGATATATATTTTCCAAACGGAAAGACCCAATTTGTCGTTTGTAGTCAAGATACATTGTTATAAAGCTAATTTAATATCTTGACCTTGAGAGGGAGCTATACAACAAAAGGAGTTTATTATTTACAATTTCATCACTTTTGACTCGATTTCGACCGCAACAACGATCACTGAATATTGTATGATCGCATATGCTTCCAATATATTCCTTTGAACCAAATTCATGACCCCATACCAAAACTTTGTATTATCTTTAAGGTGATGGATTTTTACAAAGGGAAAACCCCGGAGGGGTTGGGGTAAACTTACATTGTAGGAAAAGGGCGGGGTCAGAAGAAAGGATTGGAAACGGAAGTGACAGTGTGTATGTGTTCTTTTTGTGTGTGTATGTATTGTGTGTTTGTGCGTGTACACATTTTCGTAATGGTTAGTTTCAAATCGTGTTGTACATCTATTTACTGTTAGTTTTTATAACATTTCTGTTATGTGTGTTTGTGTGTGTATATGGCGTGTGCGAGCGACTTTGTTCTTTGCCCAGGGGCCTTTAATTTAAAAGTGTTTGGGAATTATGGGGTCTTCTTCTTCTTATCGAGTCACTAGTCTACACCAGTCTCGTTGCGTTCCGTCCAGTGCCCCACGCATGCTGTGGTACAGCAGTTCACGGCTTCCAGGTCATCTTGGGTGTATGGCTCTGACAGGAGTGGGCAGACTAGCAGGTGTTTCATTGTCTGTTCCTGGCCGCATTCACATGCTGTTTGCTCGTCTCCGAAACCCCACCTCTGCATTAGGACTGTATCGTCCGCAACCAGTTCTTAGGCGGTTGGGGCTTAGCACTGTGTCACCCGCTTTTTCAGGTACCCACAAATAGCCACTTTTTACATAGGACAAGTGCCCCTTTTCTTTTTCTAATAACTGTCCCTTTCCTCCCTTTTCATCTCTGGTGAGTTCGTGTTTCATGTGCAAGAAATTCCCCTTTTCACCTGTGATATTTTTGCCCTTTTTATACTCTGACTCGTGCCCCTTTTTCTCTTTAATAAGTGTACTTTTTTCTTCTTAATAAAACCCCGCTTCCCCTTCTCTTAAATGCCACTTTTCATCTCTGATAAGTGCCCCTTTTATTTTCACACATGCCCCTTTTCCTTTTTAATAAATACCATATCTCCTTCGGATAAGTGCCCCTTTTCCTTTATGAGCCCCTCCCCCTTTTCAAAATGCCCCTTTTAACATCTGGTAAATGCCCCTATCAAAATCTTGTAGGAACCCTTCCCATTCACAGATACCCCATTTCCATTCTCACATGTAATAAAAACGAAATTTGTCATTGTAATTGCCATTAACGCTGCGAATACAAACACAAAGGGGGAAATCCCTTAAAGATCCCCAAATATGATGTCATGGTACGAGAAATTTAAAGCATAGCACACTCTACATCATCATAACAAAAATCCGTCGCGGGTTCGCCAGTTCATATCTGAACGATCCTTAAGTCTTCAAGCTGATGTATGCAAACCAAAACGAACTTAGTCGCTATTGATGAATAAACTGCGATTCTGCATGAATATCAAGGATTACAATTGATAGTTTCCTTCAAAGCAACTCACAATTTGCCAACACATGTGATACATAACCAAAACGACGGTATTAGGACAAATCTTACAATCTCCTCACTGAGACTTACGGTATACTCTGAAGTGTATCTGCTGAAAGGAAGATGGACTATCAAAAGAGGATTTCCTTGCTTTTACTGCTGAAGATATTTCTTGTAGGAGTGGTTACGTCCCAGAAGAATACCATCAACCTGAACGATGGCGCCTACTCGAATCTACTCATCGCAATCCACAAGGATGTGCCTGAGGATCTGAACATCATCGAAAATCTCAAAGTAAGAAGGTTTGGGTATGAGTTAATTTTCGTCTCATAGTTTGTTTTATCCAACTTTATTGAATCTTAAACTGAGATTGGAAATGACAATATCATGAGTATGAAATTCCGTTTTGTTGATGATCAGCCATAGACGAAAGACTTTATGCATGGCTGATTTTCAACGAAACGGAGTTAAGTCTTTAATCAATTCTGCTTGTTGTTACGGCAGACGGCCAGTGAAAACGAACTTTTAAAATCAAATTATGGAAATGCAAGCATCAATTTAAACTAACAGAACTATGTCATTCCTGGCTTATTTTTCCTGATTGCGATGTCATATGAAGGAACAAAAACTGAACTTTCTAGAAATGTAATTTTCGTGAATTCAGAATGCTCGTCACAGATGATATTAGTAATAATAATAATAATAGCTCGTTCTTTTATATAGCGCTTTTCAGGACTGTAGGCCCTCTCAAAGCGCTTTACAGATAAGTATATTATTACCCCAGTCATTGGATTCACGATTACCCGCACACAATGTATGCACATTCTCCACTCCCTGGGGAGCATTCTAGCCAGGCGTCATGTATGTATGTATGTGAATGCACCTCTTACATTAGCTTAGGATAACGAAAAATCATCATTTGATTTGATGTTTAGTATTAAACCTGTAAACAGAAACTTATATTTAGTGTTTATTTTACGTAAATATCCCTGTTACAGTGGATATGATCCCGTTATAGGAGACCAGCCAATAAGTACTTTTGTTACTTTGGACGGCTTTTTTTTTGGGGGGGGGGGGGGTAATGCATGACATCCATGCTATTAAAAACTCTTTCGAAAATATTGAAAAAATATATAGCCGGGCGGGCCATTTGAAAATATAACCAATAACAAAGCGGTATCTTTAGATTCATCGAAAGCATTCGATTGAATTAATCACATTATTTTGATAGATTGCTTATTTTCTTTGTATGGATTTCGAGGTAGAGTATCAAAGTGATTAATTAGTTATGTAAACTATCGTAAACACAACGTGTGCATTAATACAATTCATTCAAAGTACGAGGATATCACAGTAGGAGTACCTGAAGGGTTTATTTAGGGTTTTTAATGTTTGTTTAACTACCTGCAATATTTCAGTGATGTTAGATCTCCTCCATTATTCACAGATGATACAATTTTTTCTTTTATATAGGAAGGATCCTAATCAATTAAATAATCTTTAACATTGTGAAATTAACTTAAAAAAAAACAGCATTGGTTCCCATACAATAGACTTCAAATGTACAACAGGAAGACTTTTCTAGTGATTTCCAAGCCCCAAACTACGAAAATCGATGACAATACAATCAAATTATATATCAATAGAACTGAGATTAAAAAGGTACGATATACTAAAAAAAGTTAGGTGTAATAATCGATACAAGTATGAGTTGGGAGCAACATGTAAATGAGATGTTCATGAAGATTCCTAAATCCATTGGAATTTTGAACAGACTGAAAAGTGACCTACCCTTGCGCATTCCTAAAGAACTATATCATAATATATTACCACATCTCATCTATTACAATATCAGATGAGGGAGATTGTGCAATTTATCTATTAATGCAACAACTATTTCACTCACAAGACGGACATTACAAATAATAACTATCTCTACATAGTTAGCTCATTCACTCAGATTGTTTTTAAATTTAAAGATTCTAAAGATTTATGATTTAGATGCCTTTAAATTGCATTATGTTATCGTAATAGAAAGAATTTTTTGTTCACAACCATAGTAGATCACGTGCTCGATCTTAAAAAGAAAAAGTCAGGACAAAATATTTGAACCAGCGTGATGTACTGGATGCAAGCCAGATATTACTGTACAACAATTGTAACAATTGGAGCATATAGCATTTAACAATTGTTGATTGATCAAGGCGCACTTTAGAGACATCGTAAAAATAGGATTGATAATACATCGTCGTTAACCGCTAGAATGTTCACTTCTTTTCCCTCCCTGCTAAATCATCCGAACAGTGCAAACAGTGCAAGTTAGTCTAAATTGAAAGACATTGATGCATGACGTATTGTCTATTTTCATGATTGTATTGTCTACTACATAATTTTCTATATTTAACTTATATCTCACAGTTTTTTTCTTTACTCTTGATAATATTTCAGCCATGAATTGCGAGTTGATAATAAAGAGTGAGTCAGAAAAAATGTCCCACTTTTTAAAAGTTGTATTGTTTGAAGTATGATTTTTTTAATCATGGGTTTCATGATATGTCTTGATAGAGTTATCCTCCCAGTATATTTAGGTATCATTTCCATTTGAATCCCTGCATGCATGACTGAACATCAGACAATCTTTACAAGACTGCCATATCTCACTTGCGCCAATTTTATGGGTGAGGAATAAAACAGTGCATTGAACAAAGACAGTCAGTCAGCCAGACAGACACAAACACACACATAACACACACACATATATATATATATATATATACACACACACACACACACACACAATTGTCTTCACAATATTTGACATTTGTTGAACAAATAAGCATAATGATACATCTTCGTTAACCCTGAGCATATTCACCTTAATATATCCCTCTCTGCTAAATCATCCGTGGAATCAAGTGTAGAACAAAATGATTATGATTCATGAAAAAGTGAGCGTAGCAATGGCGAAAGGTTGTTGCTAGATTTGAGCTAAAATGATTAAACCTAGTACAAATCAATTTACGCCTCGGTCACAAAGGCCATTACGAACTGCTGCGAACGCCGTACGAACGATTTTCAGACAATGGAAATTCGGAAAGACAATGGAAAAACAGGGAGATTCGTACGAACGCATCGTTAGTACGAACCTTTGTGATCGTCGCTTTATATGCCATTTGATTGACATCTGACGCTACATTAAATTGTACCACATTGTTGTAAAGCAATATTTTGGTTCACTAGATCGCGTACGTACTAGATCTTGTAATTGAAAAGAAGGAAAAAAAATATTCCAACCAGCATGATCTACTGGGTGCAGTCCAGACATTTCTTTACAACAATTGAAACTGCTCCCAGGCCGGCTAGCATTTGAAAATGTTGTTTATTTAAGAAGCATTGTAAAGACATTGAACAAATAAGAACAATTGTCGTTAACCGTGAGAATATTAATTTTCTGGGTCCAACATTGTTTGCTTTTAAGGGGACCTGGAGTCCCGGATTATATTTCACCCCATCACAACACATAATAGGGATTTTTAAATTTGCACGTCGACATAGTGGACTGCTTCGTGTGACGTCTTTTGCCTTAAAAGGAAGTCACAGTGCCTTAAAAGGACGTCACACGTAGCAGTCCAATATGTCGACGTGCAAATCTAAACGTCCCTTATATATCAATGTTAAAAAAGCAGCTGAGTTACTGTAATAAGGGATTCGGGTTTTAAGATATTAGGGACTTTTAGATTCGCACGAAGACAATAGGTCTATGCTACGCTCGACGTCCTTTTAAAGCACTGCCTTGAATTGACGTCACACGTATTAGTCCACGCAAATCTAAAAGTCCCTATTCTCTATGGGTGAGTGAACGATCTGTGTTCAAAACGGAATCCCTTGTGATTAGACAGTCATCTGACTTAATGCAAATAGCTACTACCAATCCAAAGAAGAGAACAATATAGACCACATGGAAGCCCATTCTTTACTTCCAAAACATCTCCATTGTTATAATTGTCACCAGTGCACTCTATTATTCACATGCAAATTCAAATTCAGTGCAATGACATCCAGTATGTTCTCTATTATGTACTCAACTTAGCACGTGCCATCGCGATTTCATGAAGTTCAGTCGATAAAATTACACAGAAAATAAAATGAATTAAAGCATGTTGTCAGAGTAAAAACAAAATATTGAGATCCACAAGGGATTATCCATAAGGTCTAATAATCATTTCAAGATTATTATAACTTATGATTAAATTACTGTAAACCTAAATGGTCATTAGACCAGATAATCAGTAGATGAAATGAAAATGAAACCATGTGGGTAGCAGTCAAACTGGTTGTAGACCAAACGGAAATTCACCATCACATGTACACTGTCGCTCATAAAGTTGGAATATTTTTTTTGTTACCCCAATTTATGGAATTATTTTGACAATGATTTATTCCCAAAATATCTAGATAATAGTATACATTCTCAGATTTTATTGAATAATAATTTGCCAGTGTTTGCTGTGCGTGACTGCTAAAGCATGTGTATGCTTATATGCTTATCAACAAGGGGACCTAAGCCCTTAAGTCATAAATGACAGTAACGAGGATAAATGCCCCACAAAAGGGCACTAATATAGCACATCGACACGGTTTTGATCCTGGGGCATCACAGTTACGAGGCCATTGCTTGGTCACTGAACCATGACTGTACGCAGCGGGAGCTACGGTAGGCGGCTAGTTCCCCCAAATATAAAAAACACAAATAAAATGCAACACATTTTCAATAATTCGTTGCATTTTACCCCGGTCCCCAACAGAAAAAAATCCTCTGTATGACCATACATTATGGCTCAAGGCATGGGCACACAGAAGGTTCGTTCAATATCAATAATTTTTTTTATCGCAAAAAGTTTTTGTATAATTTCAGATGAGTCGGATTTCTCTGTTGCCAAATCAAAAAGGTGCACCCCTTTTTTCAGTCAGGGTATAACATTACATGGCCGTACTGATCTTCTCGCGAAGTTAGCCTATTATCTACTTGAATGTACGCAATAATTAGAGTCATTACAATTTATTATCTCCACCCTCTTTCCCCTACCATCTCCCTCTTTCTCTCCTCTCTCCCTTCCATCTTTTTATCTTCCCGTTTCCCTCCCTCCCTCTCAATGCCATCCCTCTCTCTATATCCATCCCCCTCTCTCTCCCTCTCCCTCTTTTTTCTCTGTCTCTCAGACGATGTTTACATCAGCATCTCAGCGTCTCTACAGTGCCACAAAGCAGCAAGTCCACTGGAGCCACATCAAGATTCTGGTCCCAAACACCTGGTCCATCCAGAGCCAATACCAGTTTGCTAGGACCGAAACCTTACAATCTGCAAACATTCTCGTGCATAACCATACAGATGACGAACCGTTTGTCGAAAACGTCGTAGGTTGTGGGAACGAAGGAACTCTGATGCACTTGACACCGGCCTATATTCTAGACCGGAAAGACAAGTTTGGCAATACAGGTAGGCGTCTTTCATGAAACTGCATTTTGAATTAAAGATTAGAATGGCTTGTGCGCATAGGCCTACAACTGGCAGAAGACAGCATTTCCAAATGTGTGAAGAATCGACAGAAGCATTTTGGCGGTTGACAGACAGCATGAAAGAAATATAACAGACAACAAATAATGTCTGATGTAGTGACGGCAAATAACAGGACGTTTTAAAAAGCCAATTGACGAAGAATGACCAGAGTAATTTAAACTACTGACGATTGCACATAAAACAATATGCCTACAACTGCGCTTGCTAAATCATTTTTTGAAATACTATAATTAGTATTATTACTAACCCTTATCAACACAAATCTCTCCATTATCATCATTATCATCTTATCATGTAGATGTCAATAGGAATTATATTTGCTACGTGTGACATATATTTTATAAGTCGGTTTATTTTGGTTGTTTCCTTACCTCGCCCCCTCCACACAAATGCCCTCACACACCTATACTAACAAGTTGGCTACGCTACTGCTTTGACTTATATAGATATATATCATGAGTTTTCGCCGTAGGCATGAATGTCGTAACGTTTTTCTTCATTCATCGTCATGTCGATAGGTAGCGTCTTAGTCCGAACCTGGGGGTATTACCGTTGGGGATTGTTCAAAGAACACTACGACGGCGACGAAGGCACAGATCCTGCTTACTCAATCAGTAGTGGTGGCACAGAAGGAACCCGCTGCTCTCTCAAGATCAAGGGAAATCTTGTGAATCCTGATCCGGATACTGGTTGCCTTAGTCCTTTTGGTTATAATCCCGACTGCCGCTTCGTTTCTGAGCCTGGAATACAGACGGCTACAGCTTCACTGCTGTTTGGAACCAGAGGTGCTCACATTCATTCGGTAAATTCTGTCCTTTAGTCCATGATGAATTATAATTATGTCCTATAATTCAAAAGAACATAATACTGTCATAAGGTAAGGCAGTGGCGTAGATAGGTTTGTACACCTGGGGGGGGGGGATGACTCAGGGGCGGATCTAGGTTTTTTGCTAAGGGGGGGGGGGGTTGACCAAAATAATGACGATGCGGAGCATCGTCCACGAGCCGCGAAGTGGCGAGCCGATTTTTTTTTGGGTGTTTATTTGAACCCCGTAAGTGATGTTTTCCTGGCATCTATTAACACAATGGAGACCATAAAAAGCAGTGCATGATAACGTCTTTTTAAATCAAGTAACAGTTAAATAAACAGTTATATCCAGAGTTATCATGTGTTTGGTTAAGTTACCAGATGAGTTGAATATCTTCTCACAATATTTCAACTTGAAAGGGTTTCTCTCCAGCGTGTGTTCTTTTTTCTTTCTTTTTTTCTTTTCTTTTCTTTTATTTCTTTTTTTCTTTTTTTCCTTTTTGTTTGTTTTTTGGGCCGCCCAAGGGGGGGGGGGGGTTTAAACTGCCTAAACCCCCCGTAGATCCGCGCCTGTTTAATCTTGTGGTTATCTTGTGGTTTCCAAACCACAAGATAACCACAAAATACTTGTAAGATTTTCTTTTTTTTACCGTCTGAATTGGCTTTCACCGTGTGAATGCGGCTAATAAAACACAATTACAATAATGTTGAGGATTATTATTATCATCATCATAATTATTATTATTATTATTAATATTATAATTGTTATCATTATTATTATTACTATTATTATCATCATCATTATGACTTATTAAGTAAGCAAATATCATTCCCCGAAACCTGGGGGGATGATTGTACATGCCATCCCCCTCATCCCCCCGTTGTCTACGCCCCCGAGGTAAGGTAAAGGTATTTGGTCATTTGCTGCCCATATATACTTGTCCAAGGATAAGGAAAACCAGATAGAGTTAGTATTTCACGAGTGTTGTCTTTTTTTGTTGTTAAGTGGTCGTTTCCAAGCTGGAATTGTCAGTGTAGTAGTACTTAAGGTGATATTGGTTACGTATTGGTAAAATACACTGCGATTGCCCATTGGCGTGATAGTCGACTAGAGTTTCAATGAGTAAATATAAAATAGATCGTTTTTTTTAACACTTCAAATGAATCGAGGTAAACATTTCAAACTGATACATAACAAGTTCATTTATTTAATGGTAAATCCAAAATCTTAGTATAATTCGTCCTTGTTTTCACGAAGTGACGGTAGCGAGGAAAATCGTAACGCAACGTGAATGCAATTTTTTTTCACTACCGTCACTTCGTGAAAACAGCGACGAATTAGTCTACCAACTTTAAATTAAGAAGGCAAACTTTCATCAAATCCTGTGAACTTTCACAAGCCAGGTAAATTCTCTGACATAGTCCCTTACTGGCTGCTGCGTCGAGATTACTTGAGCAAAGATAGGTGCCAGTGGGTATCTAGAACTGTCTGCTTTATCCCCATTTAATCCAGATGGATTATTTCACCTTTCTTGACAAGAATTATGATTAAATTCACTGACATGGGTATTATCCCATTCAACATTTCCAACTCTCTAATACCTATCGTTACTCGTATTACAGATAGAGAAGTTCTGTGGAGACGATGCATTAGACCAAGATAGCCTACACAACCCCCTAGCACCAAACCTCATGAACAAGTTATGCAATTACCGCAGTGCATGGTCGGTAATGAGGAATCATACAGACTTCCAGGCTGTTGTCCCACCGGTCTCTAACACCATTCCTGAATTTGAAGTCCTCCAGCTTACGTCAGTCAGAAGTGTAGTACTTGTCCTCGACATCAGTATTAGTATGAAAGTAAGTCTGTGTTCCCTCCTTCTCCCCCTCTCCCTATCTCTCTCTATTTTCCTCACTCCCTCTCTCTCCCCATTCTCTCTCTAATTGTGTGGTCTAGTGAATATGTCATTGGTTTATAGGATGAGACCGTGGCTTAACAGAGAGACTCTGCGCTGTCAAACTTTCGTGATTAATACATGTGCATGTTTGATTTAAGTCTGTAAGTCTGTCTCTCTCTCCCTCTTTCTCTCTTTCCACCTTTCCTCCTCTCTCTCTCTCTCAAATGTTGTGGTGTAGTGCATATGTCACCGGTCTGCGGATCACCAAGCCGCGGCAACTATGTCCTTTAGGAAGACATTATTTGCAATTACCACTCTCCACACAGGTTGAGTACATGGGTAGAAGGTAGAAAAATAAAGAATGTTTTCAGGGCCTTAGGATAGATGGATTAAAGTTAGGGTAAGCACTTTGTAGGTACCTTCCGCTACCACTAGTGTATAGAAAATTCTTCTTTACATGATTTGATTTTTTTTTAATGTAAATGTGTCTTCAATGGAGGGGGTCATTTATTCTGACAACAGAAAATGCACAAACTTAAAAGGGGGATAAGAACGCAATTGTGATTAGGGGACGCATTCTTCTTTTGGGTCAGATTGGGTTTTGTGACTGCACGGGCCCGTTAATTCAACCGCTCACCGCCCCACGTGTCTAGGATTGTGTTTTGCCTTTGATAACAAAGCTGAAATGTAAAAAAAAAAGAATTGATTTTAAATAAGGATTACGACACACCACAATGTACGCTTCTTACAACTTTAAATTGGAAATCGGTCGAACAAAGATTAAAATATCACTACTGTTTGTTAGATTTTTAAATTATAAATTTCATGGCCCCTACTTATTTAAAATCACTTATCAATTATCGCACCTTCAACTACTGTACCCGCTATATATTGAATTCTCTTCTTGACATCCTATACCCCAAAACCGAATGAAAAAAATGATAATTTTCGTATAAAGCAAGCACCCTGTTTATCAAACTTCTTTTCTCAATTCAATCAACCGAATCAATTGAAATATTTCAGCTCGAATGCTGATTGGCCAAGAATTTATTATAGTAGAATCCCATTGCCGGTATAATTGTTTTTCTTATGTTATATATGCTTATACTCTACATTATGTCAAATATGTCAATGTTTAGTTTTATGAATGTTATATTTTCATGAATTCCTGGTATTTTTTATTCTTTGTGTATACATGTGTATATCACATGTTTGCTATGTCGCCCTATAGGGCGTACTTGGAAAGCATTTTTGTTTTGTATTGAATGTACCTACCCTTTATTTTAAATAAAACTTGAATAAACAAACAAATAAATAAATATCTAAGTTTTCTTCAGTGTCTATATCTTTATCGTAGCCTGATATTCAATCCCATTGTTTTGTATCAAAAAGCATATAAAAATATGTCTTCATTACATATTTTAGCATTTACTAAAATAGGGTAAGGGTTCACTTAGTGGGACCTTGACCTAAATACGTGACATCGAACAAATCAGACATACAAATCGATGATTTGACTATTAACACTTATATATCGTAACATCTGAACACCTTGTTGAACTTGCCATGAAATCCTAAGTATTCAAGTTAAGACTATTGATATCAATAGAGCCTACTTACGCTCATACAATGAGTGTTTTTTTAACCATATATATTTATCATGTGCTTTTGTTTTTAGGGGAACCGATTTGACCGAATGATCCAGTCAGCTACCGTGTACATCATGAGTGCGATTCCCACAGGCAGCAAGCTCGGAATCGTAGTCTTCTGGTCGGAATCACAAATCAGAGCAGATCTTACGGATATAACCGATACCGCATTGCGTCAAACACTTGTCAATGCTTTACCGCCATCACCGACGGGTTCCACGTGTATCGGATGCGGGATAGAGTCAGGCCTTAAGGTACCGTCAGCAAGGTGTAGCTAATTTTATACCCGCTGCACACGAAGGGTCATTCGCCTGACGCAGGACTGCGAACGCGATTGACGGGGTATTTAATGCACCATGTCAGAGCAACGTCGAACAAAAAGTGAATGGAAAATGAAGAGTTTGTTCATCGCGTTACAGGCGTAGGGACAAATTGCCTTCACGCGCTATATTTGCGCAAATATTTGCGCAACGCAGATGACGGCTGGTGTGCAACGAGCATAACTAGACATTTTTTGAGTTAACCCATAATACCATGGCCCCGTTGCATAAAACTTACCATTGATGGTAACTTTGCCATCAACGGCAACTACCATGGTAACAGGGCACAACAGCCAATCAAAATCAAGGTTTCCATGGTAGTTACCATTGATAGCAAAGTTACCATCAATGGTAAGTTTTGTGCAACGGGCCCATGTATTTTATTTTTTACCTTATCCAAATATATCTAAAAAAATTTCAAGAGCAAGCAAAAGGTGAAAATTTACACGGTAAAATACATTATTCAAAGACCCTAATTTTTTTCCCCTCCTGATTACCTTTGTTTTAGCTTCAAAATAAAAATTGGTCTGTGTCATGCCTAGTCATAGGAACGTACTATAAATGACTTATGGCAAATGTTTATTTTGTATTTCTAGGTACTGGGTTCGTATTCTTGAGGTGAGCACCTTTTGGTTCTCACTGACGACTATGAAAATTGGAGGCCCATCAGAGACACAAACGAAGATTTCGAAAACTCAGGAGTCATTACCGATGCTATTGATTTTAGCAACTAATCTGTTCAGCAAATAGAGGATCTTTCCAACATGATTTTTGGTATCTCAATTTGTCTTTCTAGGTACTGGGGTCATACGCACAAGGTGGATACATCTTACTCCTAAGTGATGGCGTAGAGAATAACAAACCATACATCAGATACATGTATGACGACATTAAAAACTCAGGAGTCATAATTGACACCATCACTATAAGCAACTCAGCTGATCAGCAAATGGAAGATCTTTCCACAAACACTTCTGGCATATCAAGCTTCTGCTCGGATACTGGGACTGGGCCTTGTCTAATAAATGCATTCCATAGAACCATAGCGGAGAGACCTGACGTTGGCATGGAAACTGTTCCTATACAGGTTTGTCGTAACTTTAGTTTGAATAATCACCCTGTGTTTGCGAGTCAGTACGTTGTTGGCAAAAAGGGTAATGGTTTCTCAGATTCATACTAAACCACTGGGGTCTTCTAAATGAGAGATAAAGGACAAATGAGTGAGATTGGAATTCCACAGGAACATGTAATAGGTCATATTCTTTCTTTTTCTCTACGTAAATAACTTATACACAATTTGTCAAATGTCAGATGTTTGCAGACGACTCAAATGTATTTCATTCGTTTCCTCCGAACACATTTTGTTTAGATTTATACCAAAACGACTGCGAATCTTGAATCAATTTGCATTTTACCCTAATACATAATGATGAAGACAAGGAATTCTTCATACTAATCATTCATTGATGATTTTCTTTAAAGAAAGTTGTGTTGTTTAAGCATAGTTCATGACACACAGTTTCCTAGCTCAATATTTGAAGGTATCAAATGCTTAAATCTTGTTTTGGAAATTTCATTCAGATCTACAGTTCTGAGGTCATTATCGAACCCGATCCTGGCTTCCACATTATTCCGGTGATCATCGACGCCGCACTGGGCAACGAAACGGTGATCACGGTGGTCTTCACGAATCGTTATACGCTACCAATCGTAGTTACTGGGCCAGACAGTACTCGAGTTGACCATAGCGATCCTCGCTATCACGATGATATGGAAAAAAAAATTGTGTCGATCAAATTACCTCTGGCGCAGGTGAAGCCAGTGGAAATCATTTTTGTTCTGTTTGAGGAAACATTATTTTTGCCATTCTTCCTATATATATTACAAAGATTAATGGTATTTCCTAAACGATTTTGGAAACCCTCATATGTAGTTCGATTGTTTACAATATTCCGAAAATATGTGGAAACTGGTATTCTGAAGTGTCGAGCCAAGAAAATGTTGGATTTAGTATGCTTGTCGTTATCTTCTGCGTTCACTTTGTACGATGTAAAGCTCGCGTTAACCTGTCGTATGAACAAAATGACTCTTTCCCCACAACAATATCAGCCTTTCTTTTCTTTAACCTTGCTGCTCACAACATGCCAGTATTGATGGAATGTGTGGTCAGGTCGTTTCAATTCTAAAACATTATTTTTTTTGATGAATGCAAACATCTGAAAGAAATTTCCTTTAATATAACTCTTTGATAATAAAATTACAAAATCATTGAATGATCTTATTTTTGTTTAACCCTAATAAGGCCGGGGGGGGGGGGGGTATTATGGCCCCCCCTCCACGATTTTTCCGATTGCTCGGGAACGCATATGGATGGCGCCCCGCCGCTCACTGACTATTTCTTTCGAGTCTTGCGCAACTTTTAAAATAATTTTTTTGAAAATCGGACCTACGGTTACAAGGTCACATGACCTTTTGTCTTTGCATGTCAGCCCGAAAATCGCTAATTTTCGTGATTTGTGTACAAAACATATGGAAAAGTCATTTTTCCTAAAAACAGATCAAACATGAGTTATTAGGTCTTGTTTAAAGTTTAGGTGGTTGTTTTAAGAGTCAAAATAGTTGAATTGTAGTAAGAAATGAAATAAAACAACAAAAACGATGAAATACATAAGTTAAAAAAACAATTAATACATAAGAAATTATCAAAACAAGGGATAACATAAGGAATAAGCTGGCTCTTCCGAATTTTTTTGTCGTATTATTATTCAGAATGGTCTAATGAATATATGTAGTGAAAAAGAATGCTTAAATATGAATAATATATGATTTATTGGTAAAAATGTGATTTCTATGACTTTATTTGCATAAATTACCATAAATATGCAAATGAGGGAATTTTTCAAAAAAATTGAAAGTATCATATTATTTTATACACTTTACTTGACATGCGTGCAAATTTTCGCGGCGATCGGCCGCTTCGCGGCCGAGATCTTAAGGGGGGCCATAATGCCCCCCCGGCCATACTAAGACCTCAAATAGCCCGGCCTTTTTAGGGTTAAATTCAATCTCATTATACTTTTAATCAAATATAGGATTTTTGTTTATAGCTGAACTAAAAACTTAACCCCCAACTCCTCAAGATATTAAACAAAAAATGATGGAAAATGAACGAGACGAAAGAAAATTTGCTGAAGAGCGAGGTACATTAACTACCACCTTGGGAAATGGGATAACTGTCAAACATTAGGACGGCGAGGCGAATACATCTATTTTCGGTTGAAAAAAAAATGCTGGAACGGCTGCAATGCACTGTGCATGCACCTTTCGGTACACGTGGCTTTTTTGTTTGTATGTCAGTGTGTACGCGATTGTGCGTGTGTATGTTTGCGTGTGTGTGTGGGTATGTGTGTGGGTGTGTGTGTACGTGCGTGAGCTTGTGTGTGTGCGTGAGGGTGTTGGGAGTATGTTTAAAGGGGGTGGGGTGGGAGAATAGACAAACATTTTCTCTCAAGTATACTGTTCTTTGATCATAATGATAATGTTTTCTAAACAGTTTATGAAAATGTACTTTTGTTTTCGTTTTATTATTGCAATCTATTTGTTAAACTTAAATATAAATGTACAGTTAATCCATTTTTGTTATGAAGAATATGTACAATGTTGTTTAATATGAATGATTTGTTCAATATCTATTTGATTTAAGAGACAATTTTTAAAAATATCTTCTTTTTTTAATTAATAGAGAAATGTTAAAACTGTTAAAACGCTTGAATAAAGAGGTGCTATGGCCGAATAGAAAATGGGTTCGAATCTTTTGACACAGCACTAATTTAGCAAACAAATTATTGTAAATTTGCGACATTCGACTCAGTAGAGACACGTAGGCCTACATAGAAATATTTCTGAGACTGCGATATGCGCTAAATCAGAAATGAAGACTATCATTATCTTCGTTATCATTATTATTATTATTAGTAGTAGTAGTATTGTTAATATTATTACTGCTATTATTTTTTTCATTAATATTATAATTGTTATTATTATTGATATTAATATTGGTATTAATATTAATATCATCGCCATTTTCATTATTATCTTGTAATTTTTCAAAAGGCTGGTTTGTGGAATATAGCTATCGAAGTACGGAGAATCGAGTATGTTATTGTTTCAGTAACATCTAAGCCAACTACGCAAGAATACTCGCCAGTCATAGTGACTGTGTTATTAGGATCTCGTGTAAGTATAATGTTGCTTTATTTCTTATATCTATATATTTTGATGGTTAATTCAATTCAAGATTTATTCATTCCATTCAATAAAAAACATATATGTATATAAAAGATAACACAAGTGTAAAAAAAAACTTGTTTTTTATTCTATATTCAAAACAGTCATATGTATTGTTATCATTGGGGGTTTGGCTAACCCATGCTGCCCTTACTTAATGGCTACAATGTTTTATATCTAGTGAAGACGTCATAAACTTCGAGTTCATGTGATTTTATCAACAAACATATATTATCAATAATAAAACTAGATTTGTAATACTTGTTTGGAACAAGTATAGGTGGGCTGATCCAAGAAAAAATTGAGACAAAATTAAGAATACATTTGAGATAGATTTTTGTCTCAGCTACAACATATTCGAAGTTCAGCGTAAATGAAGCTTAAACGACGTAGATATTGCTCGCGAAAGACGGGAATGTAGAATTAAGTTTTGAGAAAAAGTCATGTCCCATAGAGAATATACGCAAAAATAAAAAAAAATGACATGCCTCAATCGCAAAAAATACGCCATGATGCCTTTGTCAAAATGAAAAATCGTGGAAAATGAATTTGTAGAAAATTGTCTCAGCTAGAACATATCAAAGTTTTGAAGAAAATCGATCAATTTTTACAAAGATACAATCTGTGAGCGATTTTTTATAAAATGCTTAAAATGGCCTAAAACGTATGCAAAATGATTTTAAGACTATTTTGAGCATTTTGAAATTTTACGCGCGTACCCGCGCGTTTTTTTACATGAAATTGACCGGACGGGTATTGACCTTAATCATGATAAATATGAATGAAAAATGCCTTTCCATTATGAAGATATGATCATGAATCGATTTTCCGAAAATTTTACAAAATGGCGCCTAGATGACGTTATCAGTAAAGGTCAATGTTGAAAACATTATTGTGCTTTGTACATATACCTATACATGTGTGTGCCAAATTTGAAGGTATTTGATTGAGCCATTTTCAAGTCATCGTGCTTACAAAAAAGTGGTTAGATGTAAGAAAGAAAAAAAAAAAAAATAAAGGCAATTCTAACGAAATTATAAGGTGGTCTGTACGTTATACAGCCCACCTGAAAAAAATAATGTGCAATAGTTTAATGAGGGGTCATATATTTACATATCTCTTTCCAATATACTGATGGTGTGCTTTCTATTCATAGCATGAGCGGTGCCTGAATATGAAACACATTGCCTAGCTTATTTATCATATTTCCTGTTAACCATGATTGCTCTTTCGTATTTCTCTGTAATCTGTATTTTTTTAAGGAGGTGAATTTTACCAAGACTCCAGCACTAGCTATATATGCTCAGGTTCAACAGGATTATCTGCCTGTTCTCAATGCTGACGTCACAGCAATCGTTTCGGATTCATCTACTACGACCTCGATGACATTGCTCGACAACGGGTCAGGTAAGCCAAAAGTGAGCTTTCGATTCGACGCGACTATAAACGCGTTGTGCAACAAGTGACGTCACTTTAGGAGTGTGCACATGTGTAAGCTCTGCCACTGCTGTACCGAAACTGCTCTATTAGGGACTTTTAGATTAGCGTGGACAGTCAGTACTGATACGTATAAGTCCATTCAAGGCAGTGCATTAAAAGAACGTCGATCGTAGCAATCCACGTTGTCGTTGAGCAAATCTAAAAGTCCCTATTAAGGGATAGGAAAGCCTTTAGTCTTGTTCAGACGATGCCAACTTTGGTCGACGTAAAAGTTGTGTTAAGAGCTAGTCGGCGGAAATATAGTGAGGTCGGCTTAAAGGATGGAGTAGTGATCGTCTGATTGATGGTCGTGTTAGCTACGCCTACCTTTACGCCGACCGATCTACTCCTGGATTTATCCAGGAGTAACGCGCTACGCGACTAGAGGGTTGCGTAAGTTGACCGTTTGGATGCTCTCACTTGGCATCTGTGACCTTTCACGAAGGTTGTTTGTTTAAAAACAATTTAGATTTCGCACGGTTAAGATGCGGAAGGGTGGTTGTGGTTGACTAGTGCGGGCGCCACAACTTCCAGGGGCGGACCCAGGGGGCGTTGGGGCGCACGCCCATAATTGCTATTAACACAATTAAAACAAATCACATACATGATGTTAAGTTCACTCATTCAGAAATGTCTCAAAATGTACCATAGAGCATGTCAAGGTTCAATATTTTTCCGGGGCCCTTAAAGTCCAAGTCCACTCCAACAATAACTTACTTTCAATAGAAGCAGAAAAATCAGACCAACCAATCAAAAAAAGTTTGAGCAAAATCGAATAACTAATACGAAAGTTATGAATTTATAAAAAAGAATGTAAAACTATGGAACAATGGACATCACTACACAAATTGCCAATTTGGTTATCAGTTTGTGACGTCATATCCTTACTATTATCAATTGCTTTATATAGTTTAATCCCAGTAATTTCCCTTTTTATCACCTAAAACTTGATTTCCCCATGCCTTTGCCCAGGTTATATGATTTGTATCATATTGCGTTTTTGACATTTCACAAACATTTTCATGAACTTTGAAGAATTGATACTATTTTCTGAATATTGTATATTCATAATTATTGATTTTTATCTCAATAGTTCTTTATGATTTAACTGGACGAAAATTACTCTATATTACTGCATCCACACAAACAAATATTACTATGGCCTGTATTCTGAAGTCAGGTTTAGTTAAACCCAGGTTTAACTTTAAACCCGGGTTTAACTAAACCAGACTTTAGGTCTAAGTATCATTTCAGTTTCTGAAAGCCAGGTCTAGTTAAACCCAGGTTTAAGTCTAAAACCCAGGTTTAAAGTTAAGCCAAGGTTTAACTACCATGGAGATGTAGTCTGCTTCTACTGCACATGCTCAGTACAGCTCACCGGTCTTCCAGGGTAGCTGATATAGGCTTTTTTATAGCTGGATTTCGTGCTGCAAATTTAATAATTTCAATTCAAAATATTCGACACAAACAAATCTCTTTCGAGGCAACCATAGAACGTTATGACATGATTTTTTGTTTTGTTTTACCCTTTGATTTATTGTTAAACTGCTGAAAAAGTCTGAACCGAGGTGGAATTGATCTTTCGCCAATAAATAATACAGCAATCGGGTGTTCTGCATGCCCAGATTAGTCAAAACTTCCAGAACATCATAAAAATGCTCTAAATAAGATTTAGTCTAGATGACTAAAAGAGAAACTAAAAATGATCAAAAATACCTTCTTGATGCAGAATAACTAGTCCAAAGTCAACATTGCTGAAGCTCATTTGTTTGATTTTTAATTTTTGTTTAGGACAATGGAATCCTTTTTCGAACCGACGTGTCGGGTATCATGATCCCCTTCTCTCGGTCACCGTGCGCGCATATCATCGATCGTGCGCGCATTCGTTCGTACAAGTACGTACACACGGTTTAGAAATATTGCATTGTCCTAAAAAAAAAAAAACGCTTAAAATTCGACCATATTATATGAGCTTCAATGTTGACTTTGGACTAGTTATTCTGCATCAAGAAGGTATTTGTGATCATTTCTCTTTTAGTCATTTTAATCTTATTTAGGTCTAGATTTACTAGATCTCTAGTGCATCTTTTGGCGCATCTTTATGATGTTCTGGATGTTTTGACACCATAGACTAGACGCGCCTAATCGGTCTCTAGAGTCTAGACTAGATCTAGGGCAGAAATTGTAGAATTAGATCTAGATTCTACACAAAACTCTACTAGGTCTAGAGTACGTTCCGGCTTAATACAATCGTTGGCTCTTAATTATACTTATCCGTGATTGTCTTATAAATATAGATTTAGCTCTTCATTAATTTACTCTTAATTCTAATCCAACCTTAGGCCTAGGCCTACAGTTTTATTTTAACTCGCATTTGTTTACATCGTTGGGACGCAATTCGAAAATGTGTATTGCACTCACAGTTTCAAAACTACGTGAGCATAACGTCAAACTAAAGGTATGCGGCTACTATATTTGTTTTCCTCTGCAACAAAGTGATACGTGTTGATTTACTTTGGCAACTTTTTAGTTTCAAGGATTGTCGTACTATACAAATCACACAATCTTATATAAAATATAAAGTCTTAAGACTTAGAAAATATTAGGCATGATAAAGATTCAATAAGCAAATGAAGTATCCAATTTAAAGTTCAAACTTGCCGAAGGCATAAAATCGCAAGGCCCACTTTCATCCGCGAGCGATGTGTGTGTCTCTCTAATAGTGTTGGAGTCGGTGCAAATCGCTGTTTGTTTGGTATTTAAAAAACGACAGCGATGATCGTCGCCATGATTGTGAAAGGTTTTTTTCATTCCACAAGAGGTCTCTCCGGTCTCATTATTTGCAATAATTCGTCGTTATGCCTTTTAATGGTGTCTTCTTCTCCTCTGAATATCCAACAAATAGTTAGACCAGACTTAAGCCAGACTTAAACTAGGTGTACCCCAGGTTTAAATATGTGTACAATTTCCACAGAGTTAGACCAGGCTTAAACCTAGGTTTAAGTTAAACCTGACTTCAGAAACGCAAAATTAAACCTAGGTTTAAATATGAGAGTTAGGCGAGGCTTAGACTAGACTTAAACCTAGGTTTAAAGTTAAACCTGACTTCAGAATACGGGCCTATGAATCTAACTTGGATGCTGGTGTGAAGAAATAAGATTCTTAGGCAGAAAATAGGAAATTTATATCATCAATATAAAGAAAATAATTAGTGGATAGTGAGGACATGACATCACAGACTCATGAGTGATTTGCCAATTTGTCTTGTGATTTTCAAAGTTTTTCATGTCATTACAAACTCATAACTTTCTTATTAGTTATCCGATTATCTTATTAGTCACACAGAAAAATCCCTTAAAATATCCCTTGAAAATCCTTTCAAGGGACAATTTTCTTGCTTCGTTAGAGGATTTTTAAGGGATAATTGATGACAGACAGCAATTAAGAGGATAACTAAAATCCGGATAACTAAAATCCGGATTTTTGGCCTCTGTGTTAAACCGCCTAATATGTTGTGAATGATGAAAACAAATTATGGAAATAGAGATAGATGTGTGTAAATGCTTAACCCTATTTCATCGCTGCTATGCGGGCCGCATTTCATTTATGAGCTATTTTATTATCACTTTTTCAATGCTCCGCGGGCCGCGGCTTGGCCACCCGTGTGCAAAGGTGCCAGCTCGGCCACTGCAGTAGCGAATGAGATCTATCTGCCTATTGTTCTTTTCTATAAAACAATTACAATAAGTGCCTGATATTTATTTTGCATTCTTAATTAAACCTTGAGTCATATTCTAAGTAGCTTATTGAATCAAGGCCATATAAAATAAACAAGTGTTTACACAAAACATTTCTGTTAGTCGATAGTAATAAAATTTATTAGGTTTAAGAAACCAAATCAGGTAAACGGCAACAATCAAAACAAGTATTAGAACATTTCAAATAAGATTTTAATTTCATTTCTTCCAATGTAAAGCTATTGGATAGCGAGAGCAAAGCCTTTCCCAGTTTATGGTATTTAGTAATAAAGCAGAACCCTTGATCTCTGTATCTTATTATATCTGCATTCATCAGGGTCTGACTTACTCAAAGATGACGGGACATATTCAGGGTTCTTCCTGAACTTCACTTCTGATGGCAGATATAACGTCAAGGTCAATGGCGTCGGCTATCATGTCGCAGAAGACCGGAGAGGTTTGTAAAATGATATAGTTTAACCGTTCCTATATGGTTCATATTATTCAGGCTAATGGATTAAAACAAAAATTACATCTTGAATAAGTGCAGGGCAGAGAAATCCATTCCTTCCGTTGACATATTTGAGATCATTTGCAATTTTACAGTAAATAGAAAAATTATAGCATACTCTATGAACAGTATGGGATATGGGAAGGCCTATCCCGATTGTAAGCAAAACTGTTGAAGGCTCTCGACTCCGGTGCATACATCCTGGGACAAAGTGTTCCTCTCTTCTTACTCAGGTGTAAAATGTATAACCTTAACATTTTGCCTTACTATTCGTTACAGGGCCCTCAGGAAAGTTAGTATTAATACTGATAAGGCTACTAAAGAGAACACATGAACAAATTATCATTACAATTATTTCATCTAATTGAAAGCAAAATGTTGGGATATATTGACTGATCGTATTAGACAAATTTATTTGAAGAAATGCCATGAATATTTAAGCGCATTTTCCCCTTTTTTGTTTGCATCCAGGAAAGAGGTCAGCTGAACCTGAAGTTGAGACTGCAGTGGAGCCATCTTTCATGCGTACAGCATCGGGAGGAGTCTTTAAGGTCCAAGGCTACACTCCCAACTCCGCTGATATTCTACCACCTTCCCGTATCCAGGACCTGGTCTATACCTCTTTCTCCTATGACAACAGCACGGTGACCCTCAGCTGGACTGCTGTAGGAGACGACTTGGACCAAGGAACGGGTAACCTATATTTCATGTCTTTAGAGGGCCTTTGGCAGAAGCAGCGCTCTCGGTGGCCTTAAAGTGCTTCATTTGCACAGGAAAGAAGCTCTCATTTTACTTCAGATAAATACCCCCCTTTTCATTCTAATAAGGTCCCCTTCTTATAAGTTCCCCTTTTTACCTCTAATATACTACGTCGGCTATGAATGGGATAACCACCCTCTAGAACAACTACCCCCTAGGACAACTACTACTAGGGCAATCAACCTCTAGGACGACTTCCCCCTTAGGAAATCTCCCCCCCCCGGAACTACCCCCGAGACAACTACCCCCTACGACAACCATCCTCCACGGTAAGTTGTGTCCTAGAACTGTACACTACATCGCGCACCGTCGTCAATCAGTTCAGCTGAGCGGCCAATTGTTCATTCGGTGACGTCATTGCAAGTTCAGCTATACTACGATCGTTGTCGGAGTCTTGAGCTGGCTTTTTTTTCGTGAATCTTAATAAATTTTTATAATTTTCAAGTTAAACAAATGTGAAATTTTTACTCAGTGTAAGTTTACGAGTGCAATGATAACAAATTCAGTCAAATTTGTAATCAGTGAACCTTCTCTTTTAAATCAATGATCTGTTGGAAAATTATCCAGCTAAACTGCGAACCTCACAGTGAATGCATTCACATTTAGATCATTCATGTCGACAATAACTTGCTCCTTTTTCAATTTCTACCACAAAGCATACACTTACGAACTCCGCTATTCCACCAACTACTATGAGGTCCGGAACAACTTCAGCACTAGTAATGAGGTCACACAGGATCAACTCGTCTCCGGGAACCTATCCTTTATCAGTCCTGCAGGGGTTATTGAGACGGTCACTATTTCACTCCTTGAGAGGGGTAAAGAAATCGTCTACTATTTCGCTATTCGGGCTTGGGACGAGGCAGGGAACGGAGGGGACTTGTCCAACGTCGTCTCCCTGTCGATCCGCTACATACCGGTATCTGTACCCACGACCGAACCACTACCGGTGTCTGTACCTACCACCATCGAGCAGGTGTCTGTTACCACCATCAAACCAACTGGGCCAGACAACCCAGCCCTTATTATCGGGGTGTGTTGTGCAGTGGGTGTGGTTATCATCGTTGGAGCTGTCATGATGTACGTATACTACCGGGAAACACATTGTAGACGAATGAAACCTAAGGCAGCACCAACACAAGAAAAGCTTCAGGACGTGGAGGCGATGCAACAGAATCCAACCTATGATAACCCTACTTTCTCTACAAATTGATTTACTCTCAAAATTTACACTGTGGTGAAAATCACATGTAAGTGAGTCATAATAGGGATCACTTCTTTGTTTCAGATAAATTCGCTCCCAAATTCGCACTAAAAAAAGTGAGATTTATTTAGTTTCATTTGATCACATTAATTGTCCAAATAAACGTTGGACGTGGATATATATACATTCTGCACATATCCCTGAGAACAACGGACTGTGCGCATAGGATTACACTTTATAGACCACTCTTTATCAAATAAAAGTTCGTTCAGATATGACTTGTCAAAACCGAATAATATAATAAAATTCACATGTCTGAATCTTTATAATAATAATAATAATATGTCTTGTTTACCCAGGGAAGCCTCATCAGTATTCATACTGTTCTCCCTGAGGGCCCTGCAATCATATTATTACTATTATTATTTGAACACAAAGGTCAAAGAATACATAAGCGCAAGTCATTATTTTGTTACGTGTCAATTAATACACGAAATGTAAAACACCAGCGGCTTGTTTCCGGTGGTTTACCGTGCCATGGCATATCTGAACAAGCCTCAATAATTTGTAATAGAATTGTCGAATACTGGTCATGCAGTTTAACTGTGAAAGGACTGTCGAGAAGTCATAGTTACTTCGATTTGGGTGAAAATCCGCCCTAATAGGTAACAATAGTGGAATTCAATCACAAAAGAAAAGAGTTATTTAACAATTACTCTGGAATGGATAATTTGGGGTGGGTTTATTTCCAATGAAAGTGATTCGTAATATGATTTCTGAAAAGAATGATTTTCACCCCTCTGCATGTGATCTGTACCTACCCAATAGGAACAAATATGATGTAGCTGATCTATCCATGTCTGAGAGGGACTGGTTTGATCAATTCGGATGTTGAATATTGGTCTGGGAATTCCATTAGCAAAGAGACTGACGAAAAGTTATCAATGATAGCACAAATGCCTCCTATCACTCATATTTCACCCGTCAATACGCCGATTTTCATCAGTTTCGTTCCGAAACTACAATCAGTCAAAACTCCTAATACGTTGTAGTTAAATTAAGTTATAGAATCACCTAAACAATGATTTTAAACTAAGTAAAACTGTTGATGTAGTTAAAAAACTGTTGAACAATAAAACGTTCTTGTAGTATTAAAAAAGAAAAACGCCCAATTAAATAATGAATATTTAGCTCCTAATGTTTTGTAATGTTTGGTAATACTATAAAGCACCGGCTAGGGGCGCATATAGGGACGCAGTGTCGCTGGACGCCGCGGCGTGTCCTGTGTGCGTTCATGGCTGGTGCTTCGCTGTAAATGTCTTATGCTCAATACATACACGTCTTTATAATCTTTTTTTCTTGTATATATTTGTTTTCCCGTTAGTGTTGTTTTTGTTAATTTCTCTAATTTCTCGATATATATGTCATGGTCACTAGTTTGTATTCATACTTCTGTAGGGGCTCCTAACCCCATGTTTAAAAAAAATATTTTCATGAATTATTGTATATGTATCTTTATGGTTGAAATAAATTGAATCGATTGAATTAAATTGAATTGAATTGATAGACTATGTTGTAAGCAGGATAGAATTGCACTTCTTTTGAAAATCTTCACCGTTGCATATAATCGCCCAAATTTACAAACTGCGAAAAGGGCAGAACACCGATATTGACACAGATGACTTCACAGACACGTGGCTTCAGAATTTTCCCCTAAAGATATGTTGTCCACACTTGTCCTATTTAAATATGAGAATATTCCAGAGAAATTTTGTAATGGATCATTGCTTCTAGAACGTTTTTCCTTTAACATGGCAATTATAATAAAGTATACATTTTCTGATACGTTATTTTCTCCCTTACCAGAAATCAACCATCATATATATTTTTTTGGGTTTAGGAATTCAGTTCAGAAAAAGAATCCAAGAAAATTAAGTGTATATATTTGTTTGTTACTTGTTTGCTGTTTGTTGCTTGTTTTTGTTTTGAAAGGTAAAGTGGCTATGTCATCGTCGAGACTGTCTTGGAAATCATTATTCAGATAGTAAAGTCATTACATCTTTAGCACTGTTTATACTCGGTAGTATTTTCTTCTTTCATATCAATGATTTATCACTGATTCATTCGGATGATTCTTTACTGATTTATGCTTTAACTACAGGGTTCTTTCAAAGGTTGAACAGTTAAGTATCATCTTTCATGTTACTGTTATTATTCAGTGATAATCTCGGTTGTTGTCTTTTCCCGACGATATCAATATATATAAATTTTCACTGATCGTGAAATATGCTTTTATTATCTAAAATTCCTTTTTCAACATTTAAGTCTCACTTGTAATTGCTTATATGAGTTTCTTTGTTCACATATACTCGGAAAACCCCGCAGAACACTGTACTTGGTTCTGTAGCTGTAGTTTTTATCGCTGTTTTGATAATAATGGATTTACTCAGAATTGTATGCATGATAGTCAGAAAGAAAGACCTAAAATTAAATTTCAGGTCCTTTTTATTCTATGTTTATGGATATTAACATTAAAATAAACTTTATTGCAAAATGAAGAGAAATGGAATGAGACTTGTATTTTTTAGGGATTGGTAAATTTGAAGACAAGTGCTTGATCGAGGATGTGACAATAGGGAAATGTAGAAGGTTAGTGAGTATTGTGTATAAATATGCGTGTGGTTGTGTGTGTGGGTACTTGTATGTGAATGTGTGTGTATGAACACTATCCCTTTTATCCATTTTAACATTCACCTATTTACTTTTCTTTCCTTCACGATAGTTTCTCTTTATGTTTAATCCAATTTGTAGGTCATATTTCCTGGCTAAATATTTCTTTACACTCGAAAGGTTCCATATTAAAAAAACCCAAGTCTAACTGGCTTATTTTATTTCCACACTCCTCTCTAGATACAGCGAAAGAAGATGAAACTCATTAATAATAGTAATATTAATGATATTTAGCTTCTGTAAGCGCATTTAACATATTTAATGTTTTATATGCGCTTCCAATGAGCTTTCGAGTATTACCCCGGATCTATCCTACATGTAGCTGTATTGATAAGGCGCTGAAGCATTCAGGGAATTACATCCAAGAGGCCTACATGTAGCCACTTAAGTCACCAGAGGGTCGAGTGTCGCAAATGTAGATTAATGTCCTTTGCTGTGGTAAGGATTCGAACCCTGTATGTTGTGATCCACAGTCTGAGTTTGACCCACCAGACCACAAACCCTTTTTGAATTTTGGTCTAATATACCAAATGCCATACAAAACTTAAAGAATGCACATTCTGATAAAGGTGCTAATTTATTCTGACAACAGAAATAACTCGAGCACCATCAATAAAAAAAGCGTCTCATATTCTTTCCCTTCTCCTAAAAAAATTCATCTTAAAATGGATCGCCAGGTTTGTAGGAAACTGAACGTACATTGTCTAGTTCCAAGTAAACATCAGGTTCTGGTAACTGTTGCCGTCGTTTCGGCTTCATGTAGAGAAGGGTGTTTATGCTTCTATTGTTGCATGAAGGTGTTTCGTGCTCGTTGGAAGCGTCATACGAAAGTCCTAACCTGGAATTATGTCACAAGAAACATAAAAACATATCACAACAAACATAAAAGGAAAGGCATCTTTACCGTGATTGTCAAAACCCTGAAATCCGGTTGGTAGAGTATTATAATTTTCCTTTAATTTGATATATATTTTATTATATCTTTTTGACGGTTTACATGAACATTTTTAACAATAAATAGTTTCCACTTTCTATTTTCCTGAGTGTTAATGAGCCTATTGATTACATTGGAGAAACTTGAGCTTGAGCCTGAATTGGAACGTGATCACATAATTACATATAGGGCTATATACCCATTACTGTGTAGCTTTATAATCATCATCACCTTCATCACCATCATCATTACTGCTTGCGCTTGTTGAACAAAAGCTGTAAATAATTTAGTTTATTTAAAATTGCAACCTTATATAAACTATGGCTCAATGTCAACAATCGTACGCTTCAAACTCGTAATGTTTTAAACTGTTTGGTTGGGGGGGGGGGGGGGACCCTTAAAAAGTCCACCAATCGATATCAAACTTCTTTCCTTCCATTATACACTACCATAATTGAGGCTACAGTTGTCGTATTCGGGTAAATAGGCTGTCTCTGTAATTTTTCTCTAGTGCACATAGCTTTAATGACGAACTGACAATCATTAGTCATAAAGATTAAACAAACCAAAAGACAAACAAACAAAACTCAGCCCTTCGCAAAACTTAGAAGCAGGAGAGTCGATATCCGGGCAGGAAACGTAAGCCCCTGGCAAAATTGTACCGGTAAGCATACCGTGTAAAGTTTAAAAAAAAAATACGTGTCGCAATCTGTAGTTCCAGATGAAACAGCCCAATATTTTAGTGACGCAAAAGAATAACAGCGCCCTCAAGATTTATACGATTATCATCATCGTTTCATCTGGAAATTTGAAAGTAAAAGTCAAAATTTCGTTTGAGATGTTAAGCAAAACTTGCCTTAATAAATAATACAAAAAGAAAACAGTTATAGAAGAAAGTTATAATAATATAATAATATTCCGTTTTTATATATCGCTCAATACATCGATCCAACAATGTGCCTACGCGCTTTACATATATATTATTACCTAGGTCATCGGATTCAGGCTTATATGTAATATGTAATATGTAATATACAGAGTGAGTCAGAAAAAATGTCCCACTTTTTAAAAGTTGTATTGTTTGAAGGATGAATATGTTTGCATGGGTTTCATTATATGTCTTGATAGAGTTATCCTCCCAGTACATTTAGGTACCATTTTCATTTGAATATCTGCACGCATGACTGAACATCAGACAACCTTCACAAGACTGCCAGATCTCACTTGAAATTGGTACCTAAATGTCCTAGGAGGATAACTCTATCAAGACATTTCATGAAACCCATGATTAATGTCTTGGCGGGTCTTGTAGAAGGGAAACATTCACAGCTCTGTGATTTAACCT